TTATTCAGTTTCCTTCGGTGCGATATTTCTATCTGATGGAACAGTCGTATCAATCAGTTTGCAGGTGGCATTCACTGAATCTTTAACGATGATGTCTGGTTTGTTCGCTGTTGTAGTTCTATCAGTATTGACTGGCATGTCCCACATGATGGTGATGTTGTTATCTTTATTATGCATCACGGTCTCTGGCTCGTGTTCGTACCATTTGTTTGCAACCTCTATATCATGATCTTTACAGATGCTCCAATGGAGATATGCTGCAGCATTATTGTGCCTGGAGATGTACTCTGTTTTGGCTAATACCTCACATCCAGATACAATATGGTCCACTGTCTCTTCATGTTGCGAACACATTCTACATTTGCTCTCCACTTGCTGGCCACATATTACTTTCTGGTAGTTTCTGGTGTTTATTGCCTGGTCTTGAGCTGCTACAAGTAGTCCCTCTGTTTCTCCTTTCAAATTACTTGACAGCCATTTGTTGGTGGTGACTGTGTCTACATGAGGCTTCTCTAGGATCTTTGGATACTGGCCATGCAATGCTTTGTTTTTTCACTTTTCTTCTTTCATTGACTTCATCTTGGACACGTGTTTCAGGGCTTTAGCATTTTCAGAGGCAGATTTATCTTCTCTGTTCTGAATCTCTGGCATTGTTACTTCCCTTTTGAATTTAGTAGCATTCTTGGATATTGAATTTTTGGCTTTAGATCTTTCATGTTCAAGCACCTGATTTGGATATTGCCCTTCTTTGTGCTTCAGATAGTGATCAAGCCCTATTGTTGCCGTTTTGAATGCTGTTTCTACATCAATCAGGCCCCTACCTCCATCTTTTCTTGGGATGTACAGCCTTCCCACATCTGCTTTAGGATGTAACATCTTGTGTATGTTCAATAGTTTGCGTGTTTTTGTGTCAATCTTCTTCAGTTCTGAGATTTTCCAGTCAATGATGCCAAAGCTACATTGCACAACTGGGACTAGCTTCTATTTTCTTTCTTCCATTGAGCTCACTTCTGAGGATTAATCTTACTCTCCTGTTATATTCTTTTCTCATCTTCTCTTTCATTTTGCTATGCTGGATACCGTCACTTTCATCGACACCCAGGTGTTTGTATACTCCTTCCTGGTCCAACTCTTGTATTTGTGAGTCATCATCTGTTACTATGTTTCCAGTTGAGGCCAGTTTACCTTTCTTGAAACTGGCTTTGTTACAAGACAGGTTTATCAACTATGGGCAAGGAGAAAAGGTTTTATACGGTACGTATGCAACGATATCATCACTGAATTGTTTCACTATTTTCAGTTCTCCAACTTGTTCTCGCTCGTTCTTGCTATACAATTTTAGATCATCCATATAAAACAGATTGCTGATTGGAGCACTTGGTTTAAGATCTTGTAACCATACCCAGATGTAGCCAGCTCTGATGTTAAAGGCACAAGGGCTAGACAAAATAGCAGAGGTGAGAATGAATCTCCTTGAAAGATCCCTCTTTTCATCTTGATCTGATCTGTTGTGATACATCCATCATTGTAAGATAGCTTCATCGTAGTTTTCCAGTTGCTCATTGAGGTTCTCATGAACTTGATTAGTTTTTCATTAAATCTGTACACCTGTAAGGTCTTCAGTATCCAACTGTGAGGAACACTATCATAGGCTTTTCTGTAGTCTATCCAAGTCATACTAAGTTCTTTTTCTTTTTTTTGCAGTCTTCTATGATCCTTTTATTTATTAGGAGCTGATCTTTGCATCCAAATGAATCCCTGACACAACCTCTCTGTTCTTCCGGCAATATATCATTCTTTGTGATATGGGTGCAGCTTCTTTCGGTTAAAAGCGATGTGAGCACCTTGTAGGATGTTGATAAACAGGCAATTGGTCTATAGTTTTTGGGGTTCTCTGTGTCTTTGTTCTTTGGTAGTAAATATGTTTGTACTGTAGTGAACCAATCAGGCAGATTTTCTGGGTGTTCTATTGCTTGGTTATATGCATTCAGTAGGTGTTGATGTAGTGCTGTGAGTTGATTAGGAAGATGTTAGGAACTGCATCAGGGTCGGGTGACTTCCAGTTGCTTGCTTTCTCTAAAACAGTCTGCAAACTCATCTTGGCTTATGTCCTCCCATGGTTGGCATTCTGTATCAGCACATTTCTGCTCTTCCCTCTTTATCCACTCTGCTGAATGGTTGTGCTCTCTATCGTTCTCCAAAATGTTTCTGTTGCTTCTTTCTTAGGTGGTTTTTCAACTGATATCTGGTCTTTACCAAGGTTTCTGAAGAACTTTTTCCTATCGTTTGCAAACATCTGGTTTTGACTGAATTGTTTACTTCTTTTTACATATCTCCTGATTCTTTGGGCTTTTGCTTGAATTTTCATTTTAGGGGACTCTCTTACTGTTTGCGGTTCTTGGTTTGCTGTTATTTTGTATTTCTTTTTAATTATTATTATTATTATTGTTATTATTATTATTAAAATATTATTCAGGTAAATTGAAAAACGTTTTTCGTTGTTATTCTGAATGGCATCTGTCTACTTGCTCTTAATATTGAGGGAAAACTGTAGCTGCAACTATAAACACAAACTAAAAGGACTCTAAAGTAGAAATGAGAAAATTTGACTGTAATTCCTTTAGAATAACAGGTAACACTAATTTAAAAAGAAATTAACTAGCTTTGTATCGAAATCTGTCTGGGGAAATCCAGCTATGAAAGTCAAAGTTGCAACTGAAATTCGCCGTCACACAGCCGGCGCTGAAGCTGTTGTTTTTCGACCGTTCTCTGAACGACTGTTATGAATGAACACTGAGGAACAAAATAATACACACAGAAGTTATTTTTTGAAAAATGCATTTGAAAACCCAAATGTTTCTGTACTCAAATGAAATTCGCTTATTCCAGCGTAATGTGCCCGTTTAAACTCAACTAAAATTTTTCATCGATGCGATGAAAACTTAATTCACAACAAAGCTGTCTCGAATTTGAGGGTGTTTCCTAAAATATTTGCTTGAATTTAGCATCAGCTTGACCAAAAAGTCAATAACACAATGCTAATTGATAAATTTACATTTCAAACAGACTTTCTCTTCTATAAAAAACACACAAAATGTACCTTAAATCTTCGCTCGCTGGATTTTCCTTCAGCCGATTCTAGCCGCGAGGAAAGCAGTGATTAATTCATCCAGGACAAATTTGTCGCTTGATCTTTTGTCTTTCTTCCTTCAAAACGACAGCTTAGTATTTTCTTCAACTTCCACTTTACATCTGTGCATTTCATCGGTGTATTTTACCGTCAGCAGGAGATTTGTTGAATTTGCCTAAATTTTACCGCGCTAGCTCAGTTTCTTAGCGTGCACCACGGGCAAATGGTAGTGGCTAACTGACCGATCAGAGCGCGCGATTTACTTTTGTTATGTTGTAAAGAAATATCAAAGAACCCAGCAGTGTACAAATTTAATTTGCATTTATTTTATGAGCAAGAGTTTGAGGTGTTTAAATATGGTGTTAGCAGCTCAATATAAATAATGTACAATATTTTAATAATTTCAACTTTTTTCGCTCTTCTTATGCTACAGCTAAGAGTCAAAACCTTTTTGTCTGCATAGAGCGTGCAGTTTGCTAACTGTACTAAAAATCAATGACTGTTCCTCTTCACATTTAATATGAAGCCAAGGAAACAGTTATGTTACAGGTCTTAGGTTAAAGCATGAAAAGGCAAGTATAGGTAATTTAAAATTGAATTCTAACATGACTTCGAGGAGCCACAAGTTAGCCTTGTTTTTGTTCTGATTTAGTATGTTTTTGGGAATTACTCCGAGCAGATATTTTCTTTTCCTGAGGAAAAGGAAGACGTCTGCGTGGAGGCTTATGGCAGGACTCAAACACCCAACAAAATATGTTCCTTTCATCGAAGGAAGTTACGAGCAACAATCACAGCTTTGAACCGACATCAAACATTAAACAATAAGAAAAATATATTAAAAGCAACGTAACAATTAACTGCCCAAGTTTCTTATTGCGTTCACTGGACGTCACGACTGACGACCAGGTATCTGCAAATTGTCTGCAACCTCACCTATCTTCGCAATCTCAGAACTGAACTGAAACGTGCAGTCGAGGCTTGTGCAGAATAATCTCTTTTTGTTGATATTGCCGCATTAGCTTTGAATACAAGCTAGTTCCAGTTCACTGTCGAGAATACGGATATCGGATTTATCAAATGTCATTCCTTGAGTCATGATGCCATGCAATGATGTCATTCCTTGAGTCACTGAAACTGATAACACTGTGATTAGAGCACTAGCCTCCTACCAGTGTGGTAGGAGGTGTAATGACGTTTTCAGTGGTATTGTTTTCTTTGACAATATGCAAAAAATATTTTACCTCAAATCTCGTAATCGTATTCGTTCTCGTCCTAGAATCTGAAGGCCTCTAATAGTACGAGGATGTTAGGAGAAACTGACTTTTATGGTGAAATACACCAAGAGATCGGATAGCTATTTCAATCTTTCGGTTTAAGGCAGTCGTTATTTACTCTGGGCTTAAAGTTTCCTTCTTCAAATGAGAGCCTCCCTTGAAACCGCAAGCTTTCTCTTCCTAATAATGCTTTAAATTAAACCGAAATATCGCCAATACTTCTCATCGGATCTCTGGTGTATTTCACCATGGAATTCAGTATATTTGTATATTCTACTGTCCTGTGTTATGCCAAATCTGGGTTAAGTTATTGGAGAGATTAAGAATCACGTCTACGGCAAACGGCAAAGGAATTTGTACCACGTGACCAAGTTTTATGTTTTCTTGTCTTTTACTGTTCATTACTTCTGCACAAAAATTATTAGGTTCTCGAGAGTTTCATCCATAAGATTTGTTCGGGGCTGTTTTTATCTGCTTATTTTCTATTTTGAGAAATTCTCATCTTCAATATGACGATTGCCGCTTGCCGTAAAAGTAACCCTAAATCTCTCCATTATCAGTTCTATATGACGGAGAGATTTTTCTCCGGGTACTCTAGATTTCCCCTCTCCTCAAATCCAACCCTTCCAATATCAGATTTGATCTGGAAAGCACGAACACTTTCAAAGGAGTGGAGGAGAACTCCCATGTGCTTTGTGGGCAAATAAATTACATTTACAGTGTCATTTCAAAGAAACGGCGCAGAAAAGTAGAAGAGGGCTGACATGTTTAAGTTGCCTACTTACACAACTGCACAACCAAAAGAAGTTTATAAAAACGCTGCGAGAAGAATAACACTGATGTAATACTGCTAAGTTCTAATAACACTGCAATTAGACTGCCAAAATAAACTTTAAAAATTGGCAGTATATAGGCATTTCTGAGATCCAAAAATTCTTACTTTTAAAACGAGGCCACGTGCAAAAGCGATCTTGTCAAAATGACGTTTATTTGCATGACAATAAAACCATATCAATGCCACTTAGCCTCGCTTTGAAACAAATACTTTGGGATAGCCTATAGGCCATTTCCTAGTTCCAAAAAATCTCACTTTCAAAACGAGGCTAAGTGCGAAACCTTTGTTGTGAAAATGAGTTTATTTGCATCATAATTAAAAATCATTTTCGTATCAATGGCTTCGCACTTAGCCAGGCTTTGAAAGTGAGATTTTTTGGAACTCGGAAATGGCCGATTGAAATGCCAGTGCATCTTTTGTCAATGTATGTACCCGAAAAGGACCCAGGCACCTTCAAGGAAAAGGACCCACATACCGTAAATAGTTCTGCAACCTCTTTAAGGTCAACACCATACACAGCATTTTCAAAGACCTTTGAAACACTAGTTAGGTCTTTGGGGTGGTCCCAACACCGAAACTTGTGGCAAAGGAGTCCAAAAGAGTCATAAACGCTACAAAAATAGTACGCTTTTACAACGTATAGTTACGTAAAAATAGGTCCTCAATTTTCTGTACACTAAATGCGTTAATAGCGCTTTATATATATACATTATTCATATACTGGAGATAAGTAAAGCAAATTTTAGCCCAGTAATTTAGCATTTGCTTTGTTTTCTAACAGACTGTATAACTGGCCTGTCATTGGCTAGAGCGACGTTCTCCACCAATCAAAAGAGACTCACTCACAAATGACGCATTGTCTGCGTTGCCTGTAACTGGCTAGAGGCATACCAGTACGTTTCGATTTAATATACTCAATCAAAACCTACTCTCTAACATCATGACCGTATAACCATGGAGCTAAGATCTTTATGACAGCTTTCCTCGCTAGTATTCTCGCCGCTGTCGCTGTACATACTCACATCATCGTACAAGGGGTTATAGTAGTCCTCCTCTATATCATCATCTAGTCCCATGGCCGCTAATACGTCATAATAAGGGTTATCAAACGCAAGCAGATATCCTGTATTGCGACCAATCCAGGGCTGTAGCTCGAACTCGGATTGATCTTTTGTATTGCCCTTCTTATATGAAGCAAATCCGCTCCTACGTTTGTACCTTCGACGGATAAACGCAAACAAGGCTATGATTGTAACTATGAGGAAAAACCCTGTGAAAACACAATAAAGATGGACAGAATCAGATGATCAATCGATCAACCCAGATAGCGAAAAACAATTCATCAATTCTGACTCGCTGCAGGCATTTTTCCTTATATCATATTTGCCTTCAATATTTTCATAAATTGTATAACTGTCTTGCAATTTCGTTTGCAACTCCATCAAGTTTTTAATCAATTGATCAACAAATTCAACTTCCAAATAAATGTTATGAAGATCCTCGCTGATAAAGTCGCAACTGACTTTTGCAGGTGAAAATAAAAAAGCCTAAAAAAAAATCAGGCTCTCCGGGATTCGACCCCTGACCTCTGCGATACCCGTGCAGCGCTCTAACCAATTAAGCTAGCTAGCCAACTGTTTGCTGTACAAAAGATTGGTATTTGTATTCAAAGGATTGGTATTTAATGACCACTGGGCCGGATTATTCAAAGCTAGGTTAAGGTAACCCAGGGCTAGTGTGAAATTTGAATTTAGATATGAAGCGTTAAAAACAAAATTCAGTTTATTTCTTTTTGTTCACAGATTGGTAATTGGATGAACTATCCGAGCAGAAAAGAAAAAGATAAAGAAACTCGGATTAAAATGAAATGCTTGGGAGACATATTTGTTTCACATGTAGCTGTTATTGTGTTATACGCAAGTAACCTATTCCCAAAAGTTAAGTGTCATTGCGATTAAAGACGTGTAATTGGCAATATATATACACCTGTTTCAATGAAAGTTGCTCCGGTGAAACATGACGCATGATCCGTGATCTACGTTTCATAGCCTGTGGTGCATTGTGGTAGATATTTTTCTGAGCGGGAAGTTTGTGCACGCCTGTGCCATGTTCCCCATGAGGGGAAGGGGGGGGGTCTCCAAAAATTTTTTTGTCGGCCCTTGGGGCCTCAGTTTGGTCTAAAAATAAGGGGGCGGGGGCCTCCCCTGGATCCGCCACTGACATTTTGCTACGTCAGTGTTACCACCCACCCTTCCCTCGAGGGCGCACTTTACTCACCAACAACAGAGGCGCCAATGATGAGCGGTAGATGCATTTCCACCTTGGACCCAGTCTTCTTCTTATACAGCTTGCCAGTGTAGTAGTCAACCTGAAGCTCCGATGTAATCATCCCGCTTGGTACCCTGGACAGCACCTCATCCACGTAATGACCATCCACTACAGTGAAGTTATCGAGTAGAACACACACGACTCGAGTGGCATCGCCTAAGTCCTCTTTTACAACAGGTTGCATTTCATCCTCAAGTAAGCGCACCATAAACACATGCTTCACGTTTTGAGGCGTGGATTCCTTCTCATTAGTATGGCTCGCAGAAACAGATGACCGACTTGTGGGACGATCAGTTGTCGTAGAGGACCCGTTAACACCGTCTAGCACGTCCAAACGAGACTGAGCTAAAGCCGATCCATCTTCGGAAGCCGTCGCTGCGGCAACCTACGAGATATGGAAACTAGTCTTTCAGATAATAAATTGTGCCTTATTTCCAAAGAGGGCTAAGCAAAAACGAGCAAAGGGGATTCACAAAATCGTTTCTCTATCCAAAACAATAAGCCTTCCATTACGATTTTCCGCGCGCTAGCGTGCTTTGCTCGTCGTCCTACCATCTACAAGAACAAAAGTATCAGATTAATCCGCGTATTCTACAATTAGGCGCGATCCTTGTTCATCGCAGGTTAAATTCCAGCCATCATGCACTCACTTCATTTGCCGTGTTTATACAGCTGAACAAAAAAAGGCGATGAGAAACAAGGCTTCTCCGTCTAAGGACACAAAAGAGTTACAAAGACCAGGAATAGGTAGATCAAGTGAGACCAACATTTCAAATTTCTTCACGCCAAATAAGAAAAACGACATATGGTGCCAAATTACAAGATGATTCCAAGACAGTGCTGTCTAAACTACAAGTGTAATAGCCTCTTATGAGCTACCTAGTATCCAAAATCAGCTTTTGTTATCTAAACGCTGCACTAACAGCTGGAACCCGGGCTCGTTTCCAGTCTGCCCCAGCAAGTTCGGATGTGACGCTTGGACGCTTGTCCGGAGAATTTAATCTCGCGTTCGGTTCCAAGCCTCCGCAGCCCACTCACATGGCACGAAATGGCCTGGGGACGAGGTGGTTGTGTGGAACCTCTTGTGATTACCAATTTCAGCACTGAAGCACAAGCACCATCTCCGCGGTACGGCCAGTACCTTAACGCCTGCGCATAACCACATCACCCAGGCAGTGGCAGCCATGGACAGCTGTTTCGCCCTCATTAGAACTCATCAGCATGGCACAGCCGCAGGCGAGAGGTCTCACTTGCAAGCATCGACCCCGCCGTTTACTGCCGTGCGAGTGCAAAAGCACTCATTTAAGCGCCAGCTCCACCATACACAAGTGGTAGCTGTTGGTTAGGAACTACAAAACAGTTCTACCACGGTATGAGGGCATATGGCGATGGGTCAGCTAAATTGACTTGTGTGCCCTGTAAGAGACCACCACACGTTGGTATTACTGTGGTCCATCACGGGAAGTTCGCTTACATCGTAAAACTTTTTGAAAGAATTAAATACCTACTCCTTCCAACATTTCTACTTTACCTCATCGTCGGATGGTTTCTCGTCAAAGTAAAGCTCCATCAACTTTTCCAGCCCGCGCTTTATGTCTCTCATCCGCACACGATCGTGGAGTTCTTCAATAGTGTCATTTACAATCAGAGAAAATTTTCCTCTGGACATGTCCAAGCACAAGCCGTTTATATGGTGGCACAGCTCGTCACTTGTACACTGGCACGACTGCTTACAATGCAGACCATAATGCTGCAAGCCACAGTCATCAAAGCAGCGGTATCCTTGGTAACCAGGAGAGCATGAGCAGTTGCCATGTGCTTTTTGGCACGGACCGATCACATGACTTGAGCATACGGGGCATGGTTTCTGGCAGTTCTTTCCGTAAAAGCCGTCTTCACAAGGCTGTTGATAAAGAATGCAATGGGGAAAGCGATAAGCTCTTCAAGGTTAAAGGTAAACTGTGTTGTTTAGTTTATTACGAGTGCAGAACTTAAACAAAACATTTTGATGGGAAAACCGGAAATTTCGAATGAACAATCAAAAATGGTTCGCGCCATTCCGTTTAGGAAGCTTCAGAAAATATGGGCTGTGTTTTGAGACGATGCAATTTTTTTTTTACCCTTTTCAGTCTATTCAGCTGATTTTAAAATACTTTGTAACGGGTCGCACTCCAACCACCTCAAATTCTTTATATGTTTATGCACAAGATTTCCATCTGGATGGATTGTGCAATCGGTAAGTAGTCACTGTTTCCAGTTTGCGTTTCGTTCCATTTAACTGCATACGGCAGACGAATAACTTAACAACACAATTATCCACTGCGAGGTAGAGCCGCTTCTCAACTGAACTAAGTTCATATAGACCTTAAATAAAAATTTCTCCAGGCCCAGGAACGCTAATTTGGTGCTTTTGCCTAATTTTTCAAAAAGATAAAGACTTGGTTGAATGAGAGAGTTATTTCATCAGAGCTTAAAGCACATGCGCTGTTTGTGGTACATGACACTGACCTCGTCACATCTGGGTCCTTTGAAACCAAGAAAACAAAGACATTCGCCAGTTTTAGGATCGCAGTTCGGGCTGTTCCTGAGGTTACAATCGCAAATATTTGTGCAGTTTACTCCATACCTTCCACTGCGGCATTCATTTTCACAATATTTACTAAAGAAACCAGGGGCACAATAACACTGTCCATCAAAACGACTGCACTTCGCACCATTCCGACAAAGGCATTTACGTGAGCAGTTCACACCAAACCTGCCTTCGGCGCAGGTAGTCTCGCAACTTTGACCTTTGAATCCGGCCGTGCACGCGCATGTGCCTTTCACGTGATCACACACAGCACCATTCTGGCAAGTGCAATTTCCATTGCAGTCGCGCCCGTAGGATCCCTCAGGACACACACTTTCGCAGTCAACTCCTCTGTATCCGTCCCTGCAGTAACATGTGCCATCAACCCTGTCACATGAATGGGTGTTGGACCAAATACATTGGCAGGTGTTGTTGCAGTTGGCACCGTAGCGATCCTTGGGACACGGCAAATGACACGCTGCGCCGTAGTAACCGGGCTTGCAGGTGCAGGACCCATCTGTAATACTGCAGGAATGGCTGTTTTGACACTGGCAACGCTGACTGCAGTTTTTACCATAGAAACCCTCACGGCACTGCTCCTCGCACCTGTTAAGTTAAAGCAGAGAGGCGTTATTAGCGAGCTTAAGCAAAGACGGTTATGAGCTACACTAACTCGTCAGCCGGAGGTGGACTTCCTGCGTTATTGGGCGATGCTTTTGCCCAAATCTTCTCAGTAAGAGTAAAGAAACTCAGCAATACAAAGTTGGTAGCGTCAGGGCATATTAAAAGAGAAAATGCCTCACTTATAAACGCTTATTCGTGAGGTTTGCTGAGTGGTCTTTGTGGGAAGAGGGGAATTATTGAGGAATCCAGGATTCTGGACTGTTAGTGTGTGACTCTCTACTCATTTTCAGGTCACGCAAACAGAAAAAAATGTTCATTTTTAGAACTTAAAATACATTTATCGAAAACAAATTACAGTGCTCATTAGCTTCCACTTGAAAGTTTACACATAAGATCTTCCCGTACTTTCTCGGTGTTGCGCACTGTCTCAGTCTCCCACAGCCTCAGTCGCGTGGACGTAGCCTCGCTTCTAAAAACAGAGCAAGATCTTACCTGTATCCGTGATACCCCAGACTGCAGTTACATTCGCCAGTCACAGAATTACATAATGAAGCACTCCCGGTCCCATTTACACTACACTGACACTTGGAAGCACAGAGCATCCCATAATACCCGGCAGGGCATCTCTCCGTACAGTTAACCCCAGACCATCCAGGAGTGCATGTACACGAGCCATCCACGTGATTGCATGACGCACTGTTCAAGCAGTTGCACCTCTGTGAGCAGTTTGCACCGTACCATCCATCCGCACAGGCTTCTTGGCAGTTTGGACCTTGGAATCCACGTGGACAGGAACAGCTTCCGGTAACTGGATCACATGATCCGGGACAAATGCACCTGATTAAGAAACAGTAATTTAGGCTTGTGTTAATAGATTGGCTCTTTCATTAAATAAAATCCTGTTGCTTTGGATTTTGAAACCATTTTTATCAAGAACTGATAATATGGTTCTTGGCGTGTGTGTAGCGAGCCGATTCCGCATACTTTAGACTACGGCGTATCACGTGTCTCATCGTTCTCGTAGAAATCTTTCAAGTCAGAAGAAGGAGCGAGGACATTCAGTGTCAAAAGTTCGTTCGGTAAAAGCAAAGCACTCGACTACGTGGCTAGGGATTGCTAGCAAACTTTCTTTGTCGTAAGACCTGATGCGCACTCCAGCTACCATGCACTAAAGGTACGTTACCTCTTAAGGTAACGAGGCGCATCTCGCGTTAACTCAATGTCATGGTAGGTTTACAGTAATTCTCCTGCGAGAATAGCATCAAAATTCTATCACGTTCGAAATTAACGGCAACCTCGCAGCCACATATTACCAAGAAATTGCCGCTAGTTTACACGCCTGATTTGAAATCACACCAAAGATCGCCTGTGTAAGCGGGCCTTTAATAAAGAACACTAACCTTTGAGAACAATTCGCCCCAAATACTCCGGGAATAACCCGCACTTGGCGACAAGACCGCTGACACGTTTTACCAGTCCATCCAGCAGGGCAGACACACTGGTCTGTCATGTAGTCACACCTAGCTCCATTGGCACACTGACACCTCTCACTGCAGCCAGCTCCACCTGAACACAGCCTATCGCATAGGTAGCCATGGTAACCAGATGGGCATGCACAGAGCCCATTTATGGGATCACAGGTTCCACGAACACAGGGACATGTCTGGGTACAGTTATGGCCAAATGATCCTTTAGGACAGGCTGCCAACACATCATATTAAACGTTATGGTTATAAACTGATAAATTGCTCATGAAGGACTTTACAAATGTGTTACAGGACTTTGTGAGAATTATCTGGTTTTAATCAGCGACGCCGGCTATTTAAAAGGAGTTTAGCCAGTGTTAACAAAACCACGTTGTAAGCCATTTTCGCCCGACGCTTTTACCTAAATACCCTTTATCGTGAACGGTTTCATGAAAACAAAATGTAGACTAGAAAAGCTTTTATCTTCTTAAAATAAATCACGCGAGCACCAAATGGAAATTATTTCTTTGTGCCTCCGTTTGGGCTTGCGTTTAGCGCTTGTGCTTGCGCTTTGTGCTCACCTCGCAAACCTCGCAAACAGAAAACCATCCTAAATTAACTGCAATTATTGCTACCATTTTTTCCTTCTGTTCAGCAATTATAGTTACCTTCATTACATCGCGCTCCAGTCCAGCCCAGTTTACACAGACACTGCCCAGTCACGTGGTGACACGTTTCCCCGTTTGCACAATCACATTTCTGTTGACACTTGTCACCACAGTAACCCACACTGCAGGCCTCTAGACAAGAGCTTCCCTGGTAACCAGGAAAACATAGACATTTTCCGGAGACTTGATCACATGATCCGTTTCCATGGAAACATGGTGGACACGGCTGACCACAGTTGGAACACACTTGATCGCAACGTTGACCCTTCCAGCCTCGATCGCAAGTGCAGTTTCCAGATACCGGGTTACAACCTCCATGGTCACATGAGCAAGATTGTGAGCAGTTTAAGCCCCATTTTCCAGCTGGGCAGGGAACGTCGCAATGTCGCCCTGTAAAACCAGGCTTGCACGTGCAGACGCCAGTGACTGGATCACAGCCTGTAGATTGGGAGGCGGTGCATCCACACTTAAAAGCACACTTCTGACCATAGTAGCCCTGTGGACACGAGTGTTCACATTTGGGACCCTTGTATCCAGGTACACAGTGACAACTGCCGTTAACCTGTTGAACGAAAGTGATCGCTAACGGTCAATATAAACGAAAACAATTGTATATAAACGGGTGTGCAAGTCCGTGGTTTTATTTTTATTTTCCTTTAGTTATCGTGCATAGCTGTGTTACTAAGAAGTGTCGAGGTGTGACAGACGTTCAGTGTAATATAAGATTACTTTTTCCACGACATCTGCTGTCTCCGCAAAATCGAACATGTCAGTTGAACAGCTAAATAAAGACTCTGTGGTCCTCACTTCCAAAATTGTTTAACCAGTTTAATCGGGCGATGGGCTTTTTTAAAAAGAACGCAAGGCTTGTGCAGACAGTCCAATGAGCAACTCGCACACCCGAGCAGATACACGGGGCAGATGACCTGCGCGGGAAAAATGCTATCTAGAAAGTGCATTTGGTACACCAATCGCTTCAGTTTTACTTTCATAATTTAAGGAATACGTAGAGCTACTGCTAGATTTCCATCCAAATATAAATCGCTGCGATGTAAGCCACAGTAGTTGGGTAACTATTTATCGGGGCTATCACTAGGATTTCGATTTGCCAGCCAAATGCATAGGTGGGAAACTGAGCAGCTAAAAAGTTCGGATGAATTTAGGTTTCTGGGAAATTGCCCACCTACCCCTCCCCTAACCCGACATTTTGCCCTAAGAGAGAAGCAAGTGTTAATGTTGACTTAGGGGAGGGAGAGGTGGAGGTGGGTAGTTTCCCAGAAACCTAAATTTTATGTTCTATTTTCCCTTTATTTCCTCCTAAAGTAGTCGGGGGTCGTGCTCATAGTAGCCAGGGGAAATCCCGACCCCGGGCCCTCAGTGACAGCCCCTGATTCGTAATAAGCAATTACATGCTATTCAGAATTGTAGCTTGGCAGACCTGATTGCAGATTCCATTGTGTTGACATAGGCAGACATTCTGACAATTACTTCCCCACGAGGTATCATTACAAGGCTTGGAGCAGTCGCTACCAGTCCAGCCTGGAGAGCACTGACAGCCATCAGCAGTTCGGCAAGTACATTGACCATTTACAGAGTTACACAGCGCACCGTTCAGACACGAACAAGTCATGGAGCAGTTCTGGCCCCAGAAGCCCTCAGAACAAGGCTTGTCACAGAACTGGCCAAAGAAACCACTCCGGCAGATACAGGATACTGTAAATGGATATCAAAACCCCAGCATCTACATACAAATTCTCCAAACTGATCTCTATACATTTCCTTAAAGAATTAGTTAAGAAAATTTGTTAAAAGATCAAGGCATTTTTACTTAGGTGATCATTTTATTAATTCTCATAACTTATCTGTTGACTATGTATGGATATTGTTAGGAGAAAATTGATCTTGGTCACTATTGGGACTTTAAGGGTTAACTGGCACTTTTATTAGACGGACACCTCGGTAAAATGGACACTAGAGTTGGTCCCTGCCTTTCTTTAATCCATTTTACTCCCGACAGACGGACATTCAGTGTGGGTAGACTTAGGTGGATCAGGGTGGATTTCCACTGTCACAAATTTCTTACGAGCGTACGCACGCAAATTCTGCGCGCGTAAATAAAATACAGGCAAAGTATGGAAAGTCGTGCCTAAACGTAAAAGTGAAACCTCGTGGCACTTTTACGTTTAAGTGCGGCGTTTCATACACTGTCTCCATTTTGTTTACGGACGTGAAAATTTAATACGCGGGAGTGGAAATCAACCCTGAGAGAGGGTTGACTACTTGTAAGTATTCAAACACATGAATATCACAGGTACGTGTACATAAAACTGACCTGTCTTGCGATCACACGCTCCTCCATTTCGACATTCGCACTTACGAAGACAGTTGACCCCGTATGATCCCCCAGGGCAGGGTCGATTGCAGAGCACTCCTGCCCATCCTGGTTGGGTACAGTTGCAGGTACCATCTATTCTGGAACATGTTGCATTGTTCTGGCACTTGCAATCGTAACTGCAGTTGACGCCATACGTTCCCGATGGACAAGGATATTGACATTCACTGTGCAAATGAGAAAACGTTATTAATGCCTTTCTAGGGGTATATTAGCGGAATGGTAATGGTCTAGTGTTTAATCCTCCGACCCGTGAGAAGGGAGACCAGTATCAAACTTTTTCTTTACCGTTCCACTACTGAATCAAACAGAAAGGTCATGAGAATAAAGAAATGATGAACTAAAAAGCTCTTGATCGCATCAGTAACATAAAACAATGTATAGAGATTAGTTTGGGGAATATGCATACCGTAAATGATCCACTTGACACTCGCTGCGTTAACCCTTTCACTGCCAGAATGTTTGATGGAGATTTGTAAGGTGACTTTAACTTTTGAGTCTGTGGTCGAAATCCTTTGATGTGACCATTCAAATGAAAGCTCTCTACCTGTACTTACACATGGTGCTATTTGTTTTTCAAAATTTTACAAAATGAAATTTGGAAATCTGGTCGAAATTTGCCTTTGGCTACATTTGGCAGTGAAAGGGTTAATTTAATTTTGGAGGTCCAAGAGGGGACCTTTACTAAATAGGAGGCGTTTAGCAATCCATATCGCTCTTTCAAATTTCACCTTCGAGGTCAGAATCCTTGTTCAGGGTGATTGCGTTGTTATCATCAGTCTGTTCTTATTTTGAACTTGACATTGAACAAGACGCAATGCGCAAACATTTGTTAATCAAGCAAGAAGCTGAATAAATTAAATCATGTTGCTCCTTTTTGCTAATTCCAAGTATTTTGGAGTAACTTTCACGGAGGGCGTCTATTATATAGAAACTTAACATCGTAAAGGGGTATTTATTAGGCAACAAGCGTTTAAATAAGAACGGGTGTCAATTAGATCATTTACGGTAGTGCTATTGGGGCCTAGAGGGTCATTACATCCGACTGCTGATCCCGGACATCATGAGAGGGCTCGTTTATCGATTGTCTCACGAAAGTCACTGTGATATTTTGAGCACTAACTATTGATATCCATCAGGCGTTGATGTCGCTGTGTATGAGAAAACCTCCACTCGGTTAGCAGTTCAGTTGGGAACATTTAATTACATTGATTAGAAACTGTGGCTGTCAAATATCCAATTAATAATGGTAATTGATCTGAATGGAGTGTAATTTGGTCTGAAATCATATGCACGAGTCCGATTTGATATCCTACGTGTATTTAACAATTATTCCTCGAGCCAAAATGGGCTCTGAGTCAATAGCCCATGAGGCTGAAGGCCGAATGGGCTATTGACTCAGAGCCCATGAGGGCGAGAGGAATAATTGTTTTAGTAAAATCCAACTAGCTGGTCAAAAATATCGAGACAAAACAACTTTAGCTGGTTAAAGCTAGACTAATCCTTTTTTGGCCGCCAAAAAGCTGGCGCTTTCGCTACTAGTGGGCTATAACATATAGCCTAGTAGCAGCCCAACCAATCAGAACGCATCATTGATAATAGACCACTTGTTGGATTTTACTAAAAATGGGTAACTGTGACATGCAGCTGGGCCTAACTCTGTCACTGAATAGCATCATTTTCAGGGGGAATAGAAACACGTATAAGGCATCTTTCGAAGAAAAGTCCTTGAACTTACTCTCCGTGATATCCTGGCAAGCAAATGCAGTTCCCTGTAAATCTGTTACAAAACAAGGCCGACTTCTGACAAGAACAGTTCTGGGAGCAGCTGACACCCCATGTATTCAATGGGCAGGGCTTATCGCACACCTCTCCAGTCCACCCTGCGGTACAGTTACACGACCCTAGTTTAGGATCACATGATGCACTGTTCTTGCACTGACATCTCTGCGCACAGTTGTAACCAAAATAGCCAGGACTGCAGACCTTTTCGCAGCTTTCCCCATAATAACCTCGCCTGCAATGGCAATGACCCGTGGCTACATCACAGCTGCCATGTTCCGTGCAATTACATTTATAAGAGCAATTGAAACCATAGTAACCTGATTTACAAGGATGTTGGCAGGTATTGCCATAGTAGCCAAACAGACAATTGCAATTAAATGTGCCGTTTGCCTCAAAGCAGTTGCCGCCATTCAGACAAGGGTTGGATGAGCAACCATAATGTTCACAACTGGGGCCATGATATCCATGGTAACACTGACAAGATTCACCAGAGACGTTCAGTATGTTGTTGCTATAATCTGTGACAAGGGAGAAAATATATAAAAATATACAAAATATTACTGGTTATTACCACAGGTTAGGGAGACAGATCGAGACTGCTGGCGAGATCGATGCAAACGCGCTTGCTCAGCTCTATCTACATTATCATTACCACCTTTACTTTTATCCTGCTTCTATTAATAACGTCACAGATTGTTTCATTATCATCATCATCATTATAATCATCATCATCCTCATCACGGGCCTATTATAATAATTCTTTTAATAATTATGCCGGTGATCAACGTAAGACCTGGAAGACCATCAATGAATTGACTTCCCGCAAATCTAATAAAACAATATTAAATGAAATACAATATCAGGGACTAAAATCGAGCAATCAAGCAGAAGTTGCTGAATTGTTGAACACTTTCTTCACTGAGATTGGACCAAGGCTTAGTCGAAATGTTTCGAATGTTGATACCACCTACGAAGAGTTTCTTTGTGGAACTTCTAATGAGTTTGTCTTCAAGGAAATAACATCTGCTCATATTTATTCTCTCCTTTCAAAACTTTGTAAATCAAAGGCCACTGGATTAGATAGTATATCAGCTAAATTATTAAGGGAGTGCCCTGATCTAATTGCCGAGTCTCTTACTTTAATATTTAATCAATCACTGTTGACAGGAATTTTTCCCGATGAGTGGAAGTCGGCTAGGGTTACTCCATTGTATAAAAATTCTGGTAAACGAAATGATCCCACCAATTATCGACCAATATCGGTGATCCCAGTCGTGGCCAAAGTATTTGAACGGGTAGTCTACGACCAGTTGTATCACTATCTTACTGAGAATCGTATTCTATCCCGTTACCAATCTGGTTTTCGTTCTTTACATTCTACTGTAACCGCATTACTCGAAGCTACCGATAGCTGGGCAGTGAACGTTGATCGTGGCCTTGTCAATGCCGTTGTCTTCTTAGACTTAAAAAAGGCTTTCGACACAGTTGATCATCATATCTTATTAACGAAATTACAATATTATGGATTACGCGGTTCCTGTCACGAATGGTTTACTTCGTATTTAAACAATCGTACCCAAACTTGCCAAATTAATTGCTCAATGTCAAACCCAAAATTAGTTACATGTGGTGTTCCCCAGGGAACAATTCTTGGACCTTTATTGTTTTTACTGTATATTAATGACCTACCTAATTGCTTGCATTTTTCACAACCTAGAATGTATGCCGATGACACCAGCCTAACCTATGCCAGCGCAGATTTAAAACTCATAAATGACTGCGTTAACGACGATTTAAACAAGGTGTATATATGGCTATCGGCTAACAAACTGACCCTTAACTTGACTAAAACTGAGTTTATGTTAGTTGGGTCGAGGCAGAAGCTATCAAAGCTTTCTGAAACTCCTTCTTTTATGATAAACGACCATCCCGTGATGCAAGTGTCAACGGCAAAATCTCTTGGAGTGCATATTGACCAAAACTTAAGCTGGGAATGCCACATACAGAGTATTTGTAAAAAGATTGCTTCTGCTTTGGGTGCAATTAAAAGAATACGACATCTTATTCCTTTTAATGTATTAATTAATGTTTACGACAGTTTAATTCAACCGCATTTTGATTACTGTAATGTCGTATGGAGCAACTGCGGCATTGGTCTTTCCGATAAGCTGCAGAGGCTCCAAAATCGTGCAGCCCGTATTCTAATGTCCGCTAATTCTGATTGTAATGTGGACGATTTGTTCCTGGCACTGGGTTGGCGTAAGCTTAAACACCAAAGACAAGTATCGACGGCTATTATGATGTATAAAACCGTACATGGGATGACTCCCGACTATCTAACATCTAAATTTGTATCTCGTGACGAAATAACTTCTTATCGATTGAGGAATACTGAAAATAAATTAGTCCTTCCGCTGCCCCGTACCAATTATTTAAAGAAAAGTTTCTCCTATAGCGGAGCTAAGCTGTAGCACAGCCTATCCCATGATTTAAGATCTGCAGATTCTTTACATGATTTTAAACGCAAACTGTGTCGCAACAGTTTTGAATCAGATCATACATTAATACAGTTTTACACGGCATCCTTGAAAAGCAGCTTTTAATTGTAAATAGCTAGGTAGTTAAAATTTTATGAATATATTTTTAATCAGAGTTAGTTTAGTTAGGTATAATAGATCTTAGATTTTTTTTTTTTGTACATGCTGAAGGAATTTTAACCGTGTTTAAATAAAGTTATCTAACTATCTATCTACCATCATTATCATCAAAATTAACCCTTTCTCTCTTTCAAAGGTTTTAAAGTTATGATTAAGTCCTCAGCTTCTATGTTCGCAAGGCTTAAATCAACTTTCGCAACTTAGAAGGAGTAAAAACGATCAGTAATATTTGGTTTGTTGGCTCTGCAGTTACGCTTCAATCAGAATGACTACAGGTCGAGCACGGTTCTTTAATCAAAAGTGATCATATGCAAATTCCCATTAAGTTGGCGGCAAATCTTTAGAAAGCTTCTTTGATTTACATCAAGGATGGAATTTCTTAGGATAGAAACTTCTTACGATTGCGGTGTCATTAAATGATATCGATGAAGGACTACAATGTCTGTAGAAGGCTTTCTTTCTATTAAGCCACAAGCGGTAGCTGGTTGAGAATTGATGCTTGTTTGAGCCAAACGACCACATAGTTTTTAGTACAGAACCTGAAGCTTTCTGTGGAGTAGGCAAACTGCCACTGATCTCAAATTATATTTTTCTTTTGTAAAAACTAATTTTCATAGACCTTACCATTCCCTGGTAAAAGGAAAATAAACTTGAACCAAGGTAAATTTTGACCTGATGCATAACAAGTATTGTGTTCATTTTTTTTTGTCTTGGTGATGCAATGCTCCAGCTGGCAATTTGGCCATAATAATTAAAAATAGTAAATTTACTTCCATCTCCTGTTTTAAAGAGATTTATATTTCACTGAATGTAAAGTATTTGAACCTTTCTTCAGAGGTTAGCTGACTTGCAATGAATTCCCTTTTCTTTTTGTGCTTAACTGATCAGGCCATTTAATATCGTTGGCACCAGTTTTATAGCTCTTCTTCTGCCTTTTGCTGGCTTTTTCTTTGTTTGTTTTCTTTTGACTTGGGCTTGTTCTTAGCTAATCTAGGTCCCAAATTTAACTTAATAGAGATAACAGTATTTTATTATTGAATCTATAAGCTGCCACATGGCCCCGGTATGCAATTTCCCAGGGAGACACAGCTAGCTTTAATCTCTTACAACTTTCTTTCATTTACACAATTTACACCAGAAACACTAAAATCTGTGAACCTTTGGTTACCTCTTGTTTTTGTTTTCTACTAATCTCTGCACCATTTCATCATATTGCCCATATTTCACTTTCCTCATTTAGTCTGGGGAGGGGAGGAGGGCGTTTGTCATTTTTCCTTTTGGTCAAGAGGGGGTATGTGACAGTGACCCCATCTTTTTATTGACGTTTTTCATTGTCCTATATATGGCTGTCAATTGTGCCAAGTTTGAAAAAAATCTTGGTACTACATCCTTTTCAAAGGGAATTACCTTAAATAAACTTTCTGGCCAATAAATACGTTATCACGTTTCAAACGTAACTCCACGGTTCATTTATTACAGTGTATAAACTTAACGACTAGAACTCCCCGGTCGCAGTACTGTACTGTAACGGTCTTTTTTAAGCGCCCCTTCAATTTATTTTGAAACCACTGAACATTTTCATCTAAATCTTAAGGTCCTCATCAGTGAGCAAGGATCTGTCGTTTAGTACGCGGCCTCTTGTGAGGGAGGTTTCGAATTCGATTCCCACTGTCAGCCTCAGGTCTGTCAGTTTAAATATTATTACTAGTTACCGAGTCCACGAAACATAATGACCTTTACCTTGTGAGTTAACCGGGACATCACATTTGTTTGCCCAAAACTTAAAAGGAACAACATTTTGAAATAAACATGTACATGCAGACATTCTGTCCCGAAACTTCCGGAAAAATCTAAGAATTTGCAAAAATTGTTCATTTAATGAGGTCGAAAATGAGGTTCACTTTCTACTTCACTGTAATTCTTATTCGTGTATACGGAAAACGTTTTTTAATTATATAATCTCGAAATATGCTATCTTTAATACTCTAAATGAACAAGACAAAATATTATTCCTTTGTAATAAAGTAGACCCTTATATTTGTAAAAAATTAGGTTATTTTGTTTTCGAATCTTTCAAGAAAAGGAAACAAAAGTCAAGATATTGTAACTAATTATTATTGACTATTTATTTTGCAATTTCATTGCTGTATTTTTCTACTATTATCCTTTATTCATTTTTATTTTATTTTTTGTTTTCTGTAATGCCAGTATGTAAAAGGGAATGCAAACCAATATTGTTGTTGTTGTTGTTGTTGTCTTCATGTACGTACCCTGACTTGGAACTGTAGTACACTCGGCATTCTGACCGCAGTTTCTATCCCCAACACAAGATGAGCTTGTTGCATCCACAGGGCCACTGGAAGCACACATTTCACTGCCCAAATAAAATCCATACAGCTCTGCACGTAAGCAAATCCAGTTTTCCCATTCCGTTGGGTAGATTCTTATCCCACGAACCGGAGCAGCAAACATCAAAGTATGATTTTGTATAGTTGAGCCATCTAGAGTATGAAAGTTCAAAGTACAGTTAGGCCCGGTTTAGACGCCGAACTTTTCATGAGCCGAACCTAATACATTGAATTAAGTACATGAAAAGTTCGGCGTCTGAGTCAATTAGGAACGCCTGTTTCAATTTGGAACGGCTCAGCCGTTCTTTTTGCCTAGCCCGACCGGGAATTTCGCCTTTGGAGCGACTTTGAAACGACTTTGATTCAGATGCCGAACTTTTCATTCACTGAACCAAATGCATAAATTATTACAACGTATTTTATAAGTCTACCTGGAGTTGTGAAAACCGGGTTAGCAAACATTTTGTAATTTTTTTCAACTTCTCCTGTCTAATAGCTTGTTTACTGTGTTGTTTGGCTATGTTTTTTCGCTGGTTTTGTGGTTAGGGATTTTTGTAGAAGGTGGATGTTGACAGAATTATCTTACCCCCCCCCCCCACTCCCACCCCCCCCCCCCCCCACTCCCTCCCAATTTTTTTTTTTGTCCCTACCCACAATTCTCTCTTTAATACAAGTGACAGTTATTTGAAATCAGTGCGCGCCTGAAGCTGGTTTCGGTGCCGTTTAGCAGTTTACTTTTAGACATTGGTCACCTTGAGGAAAGTTTCCCGGAGAGCATCACGAAAAGCTCTGAGATGGGACAAAGTTATTACGATTCGCAGCGTCTGCATCGTCCAATATCGTATTTTATTTTTTTCTAAGCTTGCGAGCGGGCGGAATCCTCCAAATCCTGCAATCTGATTGGTTCCGAGAGCGGGCAGTTTTTTACGATCTTGCCCGCTAACCCGGGCGGAATCGTTGGCAGCTTTATTCACAAGTTTGTTTGTTTGTTTATCCCAAATGGACGCTGTTTCCAATAAATCCCATGATTTTTCCATCATCTTTCGTAATCGAGAAATGACGTTTGTTACTTCAGCATCTGCTCGGTATCTAGTCTGCTCCAGGCTCCAAAATAATAGCACAGTCGTGCAGTAAAAAGTGATGTAAAAAACGCACGTCTTTTCGCGACATCCCTACTATCTGAGGGCCTGGCACAGGCTACTCGGTAACTTTCGCAACTTCTTAGATTCAGACACCACTTTCCACAAATATCGTTTAAGCGAAACTGAATGAGTGAGAAACAACATATGAAAAACAAAATTCGCTTTGATTTTCGAGCCAAACTGAAAGCATTTGCTACGCGGGGAGCATGAAACTTGACACACGCAGAAATACACCCTGAGTTGTGAAGAACTTGTGGATCGTCTCTCTTTGACAATAATATTTTAGACTGTCAGTCGAGAAATGGCCTTACCGTCTTTGAATTTATCCATCCCTAGGCATAATTAGCCGGATTTTCTGCGTAAAACGAATCCCTTCTGATATTCACGAATTGAAAACGATACATCAAGATAAAAGGTTATTAAAAACAAAAAACAAAAAACAAGCAAAATGACTATATGTGTTATATTACAGGTCAAACTTGATTTCAGGTTGATTTTGATATGACCTAATGGGTTAACTTTCAGTTTCAATTGTCTCCGAGCCCTAGAAGACAAAGGAAATTGAGAATCAACCTAGGTTAAAAAATTTTACGTGACCTGAAATCAAATTTGACCTGTAACATGTACATCATACCTTTCCGTACGCATGTAAAGTAACTAAAACCAGCAAAGGTTAATGATGTGCGGGATAATTTCACATACAGTAAAAAACCCGCCACTAAGAACCTGCATTTTCCCAACTTAGCCTAAACGGTTCTAACATAAATGGTTATTAGCACAACCTTAGGCTATTTTGGTTCTCAAATAAGTTCTTATTTTCTGAATAAGAAAAAAATACATTGTAGCTTAGAGCATTAAGTGGTATTTACCTTATTCCTTATATAAAATCTACATACCACTGCATTGCAATTGGAGTGATAGGGCAGCTATGCCTCCAAAGAAGAAACTGAATGCTGACTTATCTTATTTGCCAATCGTACAGAATTTTTTTGTAGACTTTAGAAAATAGGAACCTTTTCCAAATCTTAGGCTAAACAGGTTCTTGTATAGAGTGAGCCTAACAGGTAAATTTTAGCCTAGCCAGTTCTTAATAAACAGGTTCTTAGTTGCGGGTAAGCGTATGTTTTACAGGTGGCTGTATTACCAAGTTGTACCTCTATTAGCTTCAAATTTGCGTCGACCTTTTGCACCTTTAGTGTCCCTGTACCAGGTGTATTTTTCACCATCTAAAGAGATCTTCATTCTGAAACTACAGAAAATACAGTAGTGCTCAAAAGTAGGTTACCAACCTCTCTTCCTGGGCAAGACGAGAGCCTCATCTCAAACATGAGTCTGTGATGAGCGCCACGTCTAGGGAAAAAAAAAGTGGGGACGTTAATTAAGATCAGAAGACGGCGACGGCGACGGCGGCGAAACGTCGCTGAAAAAAGTGAATTTACGTTCTTTAAGTCTTCATCGCGATTACTCCAAGTCACTAATTTTTCTTTGTCAAATGTATCATAACCATTTGCTCAAAATGTGAAACGACCGGTTTGCTCATGCAAAAGTTATGGTAAACAACCAAGACCTCTAAAGAGTAGGTTTCGTGCCCTTCAAGCATCTCAGGGCTTATTTCAAATAAGTAGCAATTAGCTGCTAAGGGGCGCTGTTTATATGGAGGGCGGAAGATCAAAGTAAAAGCAAGATCCTATAAGGCGGGACAACTTTTCGTTGGATTTACATGTAGAAATTTCGGTCCGTGTGGTGCCCATGTAAAGAAGGAATTAAAGATGGCGGGCGACAAAAACAAATATGTAATTTGGGTTCTTCTGTTCTCTTTACTAAGCGTTAATAACTAACCCGGCAGGATTTAAACGCGGCAGGATCAGCTCAGTCAGTAGAGCGCTTGACTGCGGAGCGGGAGGTCCTGGGTTCAATTCCCGGGGCCTGACCATTACTCAGGGTCTCAAAATAACTGAGAAATGAACAGGGTGTCCAGTGCCATGGATGCTCAAAAAAATAAGAAAATAGGAAACTCAGGATTGAGAAAATAGGAAAAATAGGAAACTTTGTATTAAAAAATAGGAGAAAAATAGGAAAATCAATAGTACTTTCGTCCACAAAGATAGTCTCCCTGCACCCCATTAGGGTTGTAATAAAGGCTACGAGTCCTCAGCTCCTACGTTCGCAGGATTTAGATCAACTTTCGCGGTTTAGAAGGAGTGATCAATATTTGAACGTTTAGTTTATTGGCTCAGTTACTCTGTAATCAGAATGATATGCTTGATTACAGGTCGAGCGTGGTTCTATAATCAAAGGTAATCATATGTAAATTCCCTTCGAGCTAATTGGCCGCAAATCTTTGAAAAACTTCGAAGAATGAAGTTCTTAGGATAGAAATTTCTTATGATTGCGTTGTTATTGAAGGATATCGAACTAGGACTAAAAAGTCCTATGGAAAGCTTTCCGTCCATTAATCTGCAATCGGTAGCTGGTTGAAAATATGCTTGTTTGAATCAAAAGACCGCATAGTTTTACATGTAATTACGGAACCAGGCTTTCCGCGGTGTACGCAAAATGACACTAATCTATTTGGTATCAGATTGTAAGTGTGTCATGGTTAACTTCTAAGAAGAACGTAACACTCTGCTTAGCTATGACTGCAAGACCGGTTTTGCAATCAAAATATTAGATCCTTCGTCAGTTGCTTAGGAATAGCTGTTAACAAGGGCTCAGTAAGAGAGCTAGTGCCGTAAACGTAACTTGAGTCTGTTCTTTTCATGTAGCATCCAGAATCCAGCTAGTGATTGGTTTTTTAAACAAGAAGCTGATTGGATGATTTATCTGACCTGTGTTGTGAGAGGACAACTGGATCCTGTTTTCAGTTTCAAAGATGAACATAAAGCGAGCAAGACTTCGAAATAAAATATAACATGTCCAAATACTGAAATGCAGTTTCAGTGGGCTATGCACAATATTATTCGACAGTCATGAGAAGTACATTGTATACGTAAATTTTCGTACGCAAATGAGTTCTAGCCAATCAGAGGAGCGAACGATGGTTTTTACACGTGAAAAAAATGATACGTCCAATCAGAATCGCGAACGATGTTTTTTCACATGTGAGAAAAATGATACGTCCAATCAGAAGCCACAGAGGTGTTTGTGTTTCGCGCCAAAATTTCCGCCTTTTATTGCAGCTTGCAGCGCCGCTTCGCACACATTCAACGAGAAAAGTTTTAGTCAAAGAGTTTTTCTCGCTAAAAAAGTGAAAAACATTTCGGAAATGGAGTGGAATAGTTTCGTTTGTTTCACTGTCGATAAAGAAAACGGTAGAGGGGCGGCGAAACAACAGCGGAAAGGGAGAAACAGAACGAGACGTAAGCTTTTGTTGTGCTTTTCGTCGGAGCTACTTTGCTTTTCATTTAAGCTTAAGCTTATATTGAAACCGGCCATTTTACTTAAATTCACTCATTTTCAATTGTGCATTGAGAAGAAACAGTTAAGATTACTTATAGTTCTTGGATTACATCATATCCTCACCGTCATTTCTGTTTTTAACAAACGTTTTTACTAAAAAGCTGATACTTCGTTTTCGTTGTCATTTTGCGGTAAGTGTGTAGCGGCAAATTTTGCATTTTTGAAAGATTTAAAATAAAAAGGCCGCCAAAATGATGAATGTCTCAGTATGTATATAATAAACACAAAATCACATGGAAAGTGCTTTGTACTGTATTTACGCACTCGTTTTTGTATCAGAAATCGTACTCGTTCGCTGCTCTCACTCGTTCGATTTCTGATACCTCAACAACTCGTGCGTAAATACCGTACGCCAGCACTTTCCATGAAGTATTCTCTATACATACAATACATGTAGGTGCACTAGAAAATCATACAAAAAGTAACAACATAACACAGTCGTTAACAGAACTCAAAAAAGCAATAGAGATCATGGAAAGAACAAATGTAACTATTACTTTTGGTAATATTAGAACATCAACTTGCTTTATGCTAAATCTCACTCTAAAACACATACAACTATAATTTCATTTTCAATTTTGTTACAAATTTGGGCTTCACAAGTTAAAAAATAGGAAAAATAGGAGGTTTTAGTTAAAAAATAGGAGAAAATAGGAATAGGCTTAAAAAATAGGGAAAAATTGGAACTGGACACCCTGAATGAAGGTACTGCCTTTCCCCTGCAGATGGCTAGACCTTCGTGTGGCTCAGACGACCACGTAAACTGGTGGTCCCGTCTCCAGTAGGAGACGTAGAAATAGTGTCCCCAACTAGGTACTTTCGTGCTAAATACAACAGAATTATCACAATAATCAGCACGTGGTAACTCCAGTGGAAATCACCGGTTTGAACGACCCACCGTCATTTTTCTCTGGTTTGTCCCTAGTACTAGGATCTTTCTAGCGAAAGTAGTTTACATGGTGCTAGGATCTTCCTACCCCTCAGCTAAGAAGATCATAGTGCTAAGAAGATCCTAACGCTAGGGAACAGTGCAACCCTTGTTTGTGAACTGAATACAGAAAACATATGGCGCTAAGTTGATCCGCCTTCTAGGATTTTCCTGGTGCTAAGATCTCCCTCCCTCCATGTAAACAGCCCTTAGGTTACCTTTTGATCCAGTAGTTGTTTTGACTTAGCAGAATATCCCGGCCACCTTGCACTGATATACGTGAAACAAGAGCCAGCTGTGGCAGCTTAACCTGGAAGTACACGAACCCTGGATTTTGGTCTGTGGAACACCAAGCATCTAAAATGATTTAAACAAAGGTTACAATTTAGATTAAAGATAACAGCAGCCATACAGACTGTTAAAGGTCAGTTACTGTCATCAACAGTTCATCAAAAATGGTCACATCATTTTACGTGCGCAAACACTACGATCGATACAGACCACGCAGGCGCCGTCGCAGTTGTCCCTTTCGTAAACGGTCGCTGCCATTTTTAAGACACTTAGAAAATTTTTTGACCTGTCATTGAGAGCGTTTCTATTAAAAAGAAAGAAAATCGCGTCCCAGGATCGAACCCGGACCTCAAATCCCAATCTCTCTTCCTTACCACTACACTACCACACAGACCACCAAAATTCAAAAAAAATTTAAGTATATAAACTAGCACCTGTCTTTCTTAACTGTTACATCAATAACAGCCTTAGCCCTTTCAATAACTTTTAACGTAAATTCAACTTAGGCTTCAAGGTCGTTCTTTCTAAGACTATTTGAAAACATATTATTTGCTTTATTGTAACTTAATCCAGGAAATATATTACATCTATCACGACTAAAGGCTCGGCTACCAATGGTTGCATCCACCGTTGAAATGGCAACGACAGTTTACGAAAGGGAAATAGTCGGCACCGTCCCTGAGGACCTTCTCAGCTGCTTTAGAGTGCTGAAAAAATGCAAGAACAAATTTGACTGTCTTGTTACATCAAACAATGAAGACCGCCTCTGAACGTGGAAACGGATTTAATCCGTGCTAAAGTCTTTGTCTGGCTTTAATTTTCACTTATGTAAATTTAGAGTACTTTAACTCCTTTTGAACTCGCATTTATTTCCATTCCTTAATAATGGCGTCATAAGGTAGCCGAAACGTCGGAACTTTATTTCGCCAGTTTTAACATGCTTATGCCTCTCCAAATCATTATGTATTGACAGTCCAGTCCAAAAAAGTGATGACGCCAAAAATCCTAGACTGCTGGATCTATAAATACAAGATGGAAATGCGTCCTCAGTGAAAATGGCCTGTTCCAGGCGTTCAGATAGAAGAGTGCGGCACGAAGTCATAGAGCAAGGAAAAACAAAACAAAAAAACAAAACAAAACAAAAAAAGGAGGAAGAGAGGGAGAGGGAGATAGGAAAGGACTCTCACCCCTACCTACCCCACCCCCTCGCTGTTTTCCCTACTCACATCTTTTCGTCAATCTGAACACCTGGAACAGGCTATAGCAAAAACCAGTTTTTCCCTACAGTTTCATGGTGAGGTGTTATCACCTTTTTTTCACTCCGATGATGCCATTCGAATCATCACAGCATAACAGAGCTGATATCTCAACAACAATATTTGTATTAAAATCTTGATTTTTTTACAAAAGGGAACTTTGATTCTCGCTCCCTTGGAAACTCATTACAAAACCCATTACTCCAGCAACTCTAAATGCATCTCATGTGATAGTGTCAATATCATAACATACCCTAGAAAATACCATTGAAAGAAGTGAGTTCTTGTTGCTGTAGTTAATTGACATCATCGTGAAAGTGGCCCGGCTACAGACGAATCTTTACTGCCGTCATTGTTTACATTTTTGCTCATTAGCATTCGAGTTAACTTATGAAAGAGGTCATCGTATGCACGAATTAAATTCAAAAGCTGCAAGAGTTGGCCAATTTTAGCAATTTGTGCAATTTTCAGCTCTTTGCAAGCAATAACAAAGGAAATAGCAGCCATCGTAAACTGCGAAATTGCTGGGTGGCAAAAACGTTTATAATGAGCCCATACATCTTGTATCCGAAACTATTTTACATTAGTATAATTGCATTTGATGATTATCGAAAATAGAGCGCTATGATTGGCTAGGAGCTTCGCTTCATCCCGCTATAATCACCGCGCGGTGATTATAACATTGAAGGCTAGCAGTTTTCAAAATGGCAGCCAGATGTGTTGATGTTTCGGAGTCAGATATTGATCAATAATTTTATTTTCTCGAATAATCATCAATGTAATTATACTAAAACAATAACTCGCCTCAGGCGACGTGAAAATCGGCGAATAGTCACCTTGACTTCGTCTCGGTGACTATTCGCGGATATTCACGTCGCCTACGGCGACTAATTGTTAATTATCGGGCTCAAATTTTCACAGACAACGGAAATTGTTATACTCATTCCATATTTATATATCAATGAGAAGATAGTTTATTTCAATAAGCTTGATAAGAGAATGAAAGGCATATGCTGATGAGGCTAAAGATGTGAACAAAGATTCGCCTATTCGCAAAGAGGTCCAGTTAACAAAACCATAAGAGAAAAGTAATAATGCCGCCAGTTTTCTCTTATCATAGCACAGGGCTGTCATTAAGGGCGTGGCTGAAGATTATCCTCAGTTATTCCCCCGCTACGTTCATAGGAAACAAACAGAAAATAGGACTAGTGGAATCTTCTAGCTGTTAATTACTGCGCCTTTTGATTAAATAGTACCTGGCCACTTGAAATCTTAGTGACAGCCCTGATAGCATAAACTGAATATACCTGACTGAAAAAAGTCGCTTAAAAAGTAGAAACCATGAATGATGAGGCTTCAAGGACTTATGGGAATACCTTTTTTAACACAGGAAATTCAATTTTTTTTTACCCTAAAGAGCTCACATTATTCTGATTATCATGAGCTTCTCTTGCAGATGCAAATTTTCGGAGTACTTTGTTTCTGAACTCATTCCAAAAAAACTTTTCAAGTGTACCTTTGCGATGTGGTTACGCTCTATAACGAGCACCGAAGAAACAGGTGATTCTGTTGACTTTTGTGCCGATCAATTTGAAACTTCAACAAACCCCCCGCCCCTCCTTCTGGGGCAAGCCCAGGGCATTGGACCGTCACTTGTGCCAGCGGAGTGGGTAATTTGACCATTGCCTGGGTGGAGTGGGAAATTTAAACCAGAAATGTCAAGTTTAACATCTTTGGACAATCCGGGACTCACGACGTGGTTCGATAGATGCCATCTCTCTCATAGTAACCTGCGCAGCTGGAGGGATTGTTTTTGCGTGTGGGAGTTTGGCGGCGAACCCGCCATTCTCGTAGCCTGTAAACAGACCCCCCAACCCCTCCCCTCCTCCTGAGGGGAGGGGTAGGGGTCTGTACACAAGATACCATTCTCGTGGCTATGCCACGGGAAGCGAGCGCCGCGGCTACGCAGGCTATTCTCATAGTGAGATGGAGGAGTTTAAGATAAAGGAACAGCTTTTTGAAGCGAATGGCTTGTTCGGCAAAGACTTAAAAGGCTACATTTTAAAGGCTACAAGTATGCGTTTTTTACGGTATTATGTATGAAAACGAGATCTAGTGTTGTAGTTCAATTGCCGATCAACATCATGTGAAGTCCGGAAAATTCACTCAAGTCTATTTTTCGAATTCGCAATCTGCAAAACAATTCTTCTTTGAGAGGGGCATTCAACTACTACATTGGGCTAATGTAACGACGCGAGTAGCTTGTGATAATGTAAGCTCTTTTGGGTCATGTCCACACGAGTCCGGAGATTTTTAACACCGCATGTTCTTTACCCGGATTCGCATGGACGGGTCTTAAACCGGTTTAGGTGACCGAATTTGGATATCCGGATTCATGTAGACTTAGCCTTGTAAGAAATTTGAATTTGCAATGCTAATAAACTTCAGTTCACCCAAAAAATCCATAAGGCCTCATCGTTCAATCAGGTGTTTAAGTAAGGATCCAACCTTTAGCATGAATTCGACCAAATCTTGCTGGTGGATGAGAGGAAGGATGGCCATCTAGAAAGCTGTCTGGAATATACCGACTCTGCATTCCTAAGTCAGTCCACACAGATATGGTGACTGGTACAACAGCAAGCTTTAGGAGGCGGAAGCCTTTTTCTACTTGACGTAAGGATATTGTGTGGATACCAGGATTCAGAGTAAACGTCTGAAAATCGCATGAGGGATTGGTGTTATGTATTGATCAATCTAGTCTGCGAGCAGGCTCTCCATTTGGGTGAGTCGCGAGAAGTCATGCGAGAGCAGCAGGCGAAAGGAGACGCGAGTGCGAGATTCGTCGCTCGCTCGCGAGTTCGCTCGCCATAAACGGAGAGCTTGCAAGCAGGCTATGATCAATCAATATTTATTAACTGCAAAAATGAAAGTCAATTGGCTGATCAGTGATTATCTAGTACTTTATACAAAATAAGGGGGCTCAAGGCCGCGGGTGAAACCTATCTATGAATAAATTCATAGGCAAACGTTTGCTTGCGCTACATATTTTAAAAAGCTTATATCTCAGCTGTTTTAGAGGCAATTAAGATAAAATTTTACAGAGACATTGTGGAATGATGGAAGTTTAGGAGGAGTGTTTTGGAAAGTTTGACCGGACAAAATGTCATCTAGGCCAGACAACGACCAGGCGTTATTTTGAACCCTGGCTTGACTGTAGTCATGCATGATGACAAACCATGAAAATGCAGTGCACATGCACGGAGGAAAAGCGCTCCATATACAGTAAGATCAGATAAGAAACCTTTAGGTTCGAGGACGAGAACGACAACGAGTACGAGATTTTCAACTGAAAGTATTTTTCGCGCATTCTAAAAAATAGACACCCTAGAAAGCTTCATTGCATTTTTTCCACCAGCAAAGTTAGCACTGTTATCTTTACTGAAGCAGGGTTAATCCCTCTCCCGATCGCAAAATGATAAAACTTCTAACACTTGATAACTTGTTTCTGCCACTACGACATTCTCACCAAAACTCGTAGTACACTCTACTACGAGTTGATGATGACGACTATCAAGTTTTCCGGCCAAAATGACACTGATTCACGTGCGCGCACTACTTAGTATTGAGGCAATCTCGTCCTTGCAGTCGTTCTCGTCTTAGAATCTAAAGGTCTCTATTAGCAGAAGAGTTACTGTAGGCCTAAAATAATTGTTTCATACCTGATGGTAATATTGTGTCCACAAGGCATGAGAAGCTTTCTGTGGTGGGATCCAATGTACCCAGTCCCCCTCATCAATTCTAAACGAGATGTCGTTGGTTTTGTTTGAGGTTGCAAACATTTGTTTCCACACAACAAAATCAGCCAAGAAAGTCACCTTAAATTCATAACTAGCTATCAGGTCATACAAGGAACCATTTGCTTTCACATAGTTATCCGAAACGACTGTCTCAGTACTATAGGCAGGACCTATGAGTATATAGCAAAAGACACTATCAGCATTGCAATACTAAACGTAATCATAACTATAACAAAATTCTCAAATCTGATTGGCTACCAACTGCCCTGATTTCAGCCTTAATTGGACAATTTAATAGGACAGTACGCGTCATGCCCAAGTAATTGGACAGTACGCGCCATCAAGCGCGTGCTTAAATGGCTTTTTTTTCACTACTAGCAAAAAAATTGGCATTTCTTCTGTTTTGATTTCAAAAAAGGGCCTTATATATCACAACTTTTGTTAAAGTTATGATTAATTGGTAACAGAACTTTGAGTCGTCCAACTCGGTCTGTAATCATACTCGTGATTTAATAAACAGTGTGTTGTTTACAATTTTTCATGTGATCTGTGCGATGCAGATTATGTCGGGTACACAGCCCGACACCTTCATCAACGCATTGCTGAGCACAAAAATTCGGCAATCGGTAGACATTTCTTAGAAGCTCACGGTAACAACAACCTTTTGAGAGAAAGCCAATTCACGGTTTTAAGAAAGTGCCAGAGCAAATTTGATTGTTTAGTATTTGAAATGCTCTTCATCAAGAAACTTAAGCCCAATTTAAATATTCAGACGGACTCCATACGTGCGAAACTCTTTGTTTAATATTTTCTCACGTTACAATTTTTAATCAGCTATTGTTGTTTTTTTAGTATTTATAGACCAAAAATCACTAACTTATTTTGACTTGATAATGACGTTCAGCTAACGTCGAAACGTCGTCGCTTTTTAGCAATTTTTTTAATCTTAAAATGATTTTAAGAAATGTTTTATCGCAATTTTTTATAGTGAAATGCTTTTCAAAATCACTTCTTGTTCGTACACCATATTTCACGAACTAAAAAGTGTCACGAAAGCGAAGATCGCTCAGAATAATTCACAGGTTTCTGAAGGAGGAATTACAGTCAAACCATTCATGAATTGATTATTTGAAAAGTGAATCTGTTAGTCGCTTCTGTAACTTGTACCTGGTATCAAATTGCATTCAATGATCGGTGAATTTTTGACTGCAACTTTTTAGTACACGATGAGATGGAAAATATTTCAATGGATACAATTTATAAAAATTTAGACATTTTTCAAATTCAAAAAAACTGTCAGAGCCGGCAGAAATTTCATAACGAACTCGTGTGTGTATTCACTGCTAAGCAAAAATGCGGACTGAAATCAACAACAACTAATGGATGGCGGCATTTTGGCCAATCGGAACAGCACAAATCATCCATTTGTTTTCCTAGCCAATCAGAAAGAAGTCCAGATTCTGGCCTTTTTTGCATGTGTTCTGTGAAAGAATTGTATCATGCCCTCCTCCCGAAAACAGATTTAACAGAGATAAAGGGAGAGGGCATGATCGCAGGCTACTGTCACATCAATATTAATGACAGCTCTATAGTCTTGTACACTGTCCTTAAACTCATACATGTAATTTGAGACTTACCCTTGCTAGAAGGACTCACAGCCAGAATTTCACATCCTGCTAGTGGTACTTCTCTCATTCTGCAAGTCTCAAGGGGAACTTCTGGGGCATCTTTCTGGCAGTCCAGCCTGATGCCTGCAATGGCAACATTGGCATTTGGACACTTATTCATGGGTTTGCATTCAGGACATGGAGGGAGACCACAGCCTGAGTTTTCAGGCAAAGAATGCTTAAATCGTATCTGATACATCTTTTTCTCCAACTCTAGATTTACGAAAGCTGCTCGCCAGATATTGCCTTGAGATCCTGTCATATTCCATCCTGCAAAAAAAGGGAACAAAATAGTCTTACACTTACATGATTTGTGTAACCACAGGCAGCCCAAGTTTTATAATTATTAGAGTTTAATCATTAATATGTGCGGGCTCATATTGCGTAGTCCTCAAATGGCCATGAACATAAAGGATTTGTGTGGGAATTCAGGTCATAGATTCAAAAAGATAAATAATAATAACAAAAACATCACTTTACCTCAATTACTTGGTTTCTTCTTGCTTGCTGTGTCGTTCTTGTCCGGGGTAAAGGAAATCGCTTTAATCGCAGCAGATCAGTAAAATAACCAAATGGCAAGCAAGAACAAACCAAGTTCTTGACAGACGTAAAGTGTTTTTTTATTCAGCGATTATTTATCTTCTTGAATCTATTACCTGAATTCCCATACAAATCCTTTACGTTTATGTGCATGATCCCTAGCTACATTCGTAAAGCACAAAGTAGAATCAAATGAACCCCCTAGCTGCCTAATCCTAATCCCTGCCTACTAAGAGCATGTACATGCAATGGGTAACTTGAACAGCTCTTCATGTTCATGGTTTTTCCTCAAGACACTATTCAGGGTAGCCTGCGTAGCAAGCGTTTCCGCGCGAGTTCGTCGAGAACGTCGGGACGAGAGCAAAAAAAAAAGAAATGACGGGGGAGGGGGAGGGGAAATAACTCGATTGGAAACGCTTGCTACGCAGGCTATATTCAGGGCTGTCATTAAGGTTTTAAAAAGCTTATCTCTCAGTGTAATTAGCCAGTAATTTATCCCACAAATCCTCCAGTGTTTGGTATGTTTAGAAACTTAAGGAAAATAGCAATTCTCAAAAACTCTTTTACTTTCAGCCTCACCTGAGTCAATCCACCTGCCATAGGGACCAAGCAAAGGATTCTTGGTGTTCACAAGAACTCTAAGGGTGCCGATATCTCTGCCATGCATGTTCCAAAAGAAACGCAAGTAGCATTTATTAACTCCTTTAATGTTTGGACTTGTGAAAGTGACTACAACAAGAATGAAGAACAGATCTATAAATGCATTTTTTACAAAAACAAATAACTAATAATCGTATCATTTGTACACAGTCAGGTTTCCAAACAATGGTTTTGAAGGAGGATGTGACTGCAAGGTCTAGCTATCTCACATCTCACATTTTCTGTGTCAAAATGCAATTTGCTTATCCTTTCAGAACATTTGAGACTATATTGACCAATCATGGTTTCAGGTGGCTTTTGAGATGTGATGGAGCCAGCTTGCAGGTGGTTGGTATGTGGGCTTGCCACAGTGGCCTTTAGTTTAATACAGTCAAACCTTCACTACTAGCCACTTCTCCACAATGGCCACCCCGCTACAACGGCCACCTCTCTACATTTGCCAATTTTTTTCACCCAGCAGACAGTTCATGCATTGACTCTTGTTTAAACTTCTCTACAATGGCTACCTCTCGACAATGGTAATGGCCACTAACACCATGTCCCCAACTGCTAAAATAACCTCTTGACAACAGCCACTTTTTTACAGAGACTGATGAATAAGTTAAGTAAGACTGGATAGAAAATTTGATCTGTAAGGCACTTCTATCATGATTAATCGCGGCAAGTCTTAACAATTCATTTATGATTAATTAACGTAAATACAGTACTTTTTTCGTATGAACCATATATAACAACTCCCTCTAGCAGACAACCCTTGACAACTTTATTTCACTTAAAAAAAATAATACTAACAACGAATGCTGCGAACTTTACCCGTTTTGTCTTGCTTGTTAGCATTTTAATTACATGTAAAAACATCATTCAAAGGGTATTTACAAAAAAACACAGGTGTCATATTCAAGGCTGTGCTCTAAGGAAAATTTTAGGGAGCCCCTCAGGCTCCCAAGCATTTTAGCTAAGACACCCAGACCTCAAAGTTGGTTGCCTGAATAAATATTTCGGGGAGCCCTTGGACTCCCAAAGATTCCAGCTGGGGTGCCGAGGGCTCCAAGTTGGTCACCCGAGTACATCTGACAAAGAAGTATTTTGTATGCCCTAATTTTACTGGCCTGTTGATCACCAAACTCGGCAATTTTAGCTTTTGGGCATGACAAAAACTCGCGTGTTGTCCTATGAAACCCATCAAAGTTTTCGTACCATTCAGATTTAAAATGAGAAAAGTGAGCAATGCCACTGAATTGTTCAGGTTTTATAAAGAGGGAAACGTAACAATTTCGGCAGGTTTACATAATTTTCATCAAGATGTTTGGGTCAAATATAGGAAAACTGTGCTTTTTACTACTAATACTTAAGTTGAAAATAAATTTTCCAAAGGTAAATCACGGCGGCATGAAATAAGTGATGGAGTTCACAAGGCAGATCGAACTCAAGTTCCCGTGAAAACTCAATCCAAAACCTAATATTCTAATAAAAAATAAGTCATCTTTAATTTTCTATTCTATATTATCAGTGAATCTTTTAGGATAACTGAGCTTTTTGTGGATTCGGTCGAAGTATAAACCAGCTCTTCTTTCCCAAGCTTTTTTTTTTCGCCGCTAAATTTAGCCTATGCATGCATGCGAATTTAGTTTTCGATACGTATGATGCCAAGACAACGTGGAACTGGCCTGTTTCTAAAACAACAATAAAAACGATCATATCTTTTCTTTTTCTATTTTGTTATTTTATGTACAGGGAATAAAACAATCATAAGTTATTAAATTTGCATACCGGGATACAGTGACTTCCGTTTTACACAAAAATAAATTACCCCGCGTTGCCAGCTGTGCTCTACACCTGTCAGAAGAGTATTAATGTACCTTCTATCTGAAAGGAAAAATTTTAAGGTGGTTCGTCTGGATTTTTTAGGGGGGCGGGGGGCTCCCAAGTTTGAGTATTAACTATGTCAGCATAAGTAAATATATGGGAAAAAGGTTACCACAACTGTATTATATAAAGATGAAAATTTCTTATGATCTGGGTTTTATTGCAATCATGGCAGTCACCATGGCAACGTAATGACACCATTAAATTTGTTATTTATCCTGTGTTTCTCTGTTCCAGGAGTTTATTTAAGAAATAGCTTAAGGGAGTTTATACCTGCCATAATTGCCTCAATTTTGGCAAAGTGTGAACAAATTCTATGAGAGCATTTTCAAAATATTTTGAAATGAAGTTTTACAAATCATAAAAACAGTGAAAAAGCATGCTATCCACACAATTAGCTAATGTTTTAAGAAAATGATAAGCTTTGGAAATACGGCTTCATCTCATAGTGGTTTGATTCCATTGAAAACTACATACAAAAAAAAAGAGGGGAATTGCTCTGGGCGATCGCAAATAAGAAGAATTTTATTAACTTACGTTCAGCTGCTTTTGTCACAGTACAGGGAAGGCTTTTAAATATAAGGTCTCAAATATAACTAATTTTTTCCCCCAGATTTTAATAGTGTTTACAAATGAGTGTCCTCATTATTCACTAGCATTGTTTTCAAGTTTCATATGCACATGCACATTTAGCAAAAAGATAGAATTTGCATCAAAAAGGACCCTCAGTTAAATCGCTGGAATATGCTAATAACCAGGCAAAGAAATTAGTGATATATTATAACATCACAGCAACTCTTTGTAAGAGTTTCTGTGATGTCTATACCCGAGTAAGATAATTAAGTATTGCATCCTACACGATGAGCTATGAAGTTCACTGTTTTGGATCTCACTGCTATCCGTGACACAAGCCAATTATTAGCATATTCCAGATATTTCTTCGGAAAGTAATCGAAATGTTTTTTTTGATGCAAATTTATCTCTTTTAGCTAAATGTGTACGTGCATATGAAACTTGAAAACAATGCCACTGAATAATGAGGATGCTCACTTGTAAACACAAAATCTGGGGGAAAAATTGGTTATATCTGAGGCCATATTTAAAAGCCTTCCCTGTTTCCAATGTTCTTGAAACTTGCAGGGTATATTTATTGGCGATTGATCTCAGGATTGTCAAATTTATAAAAAAAAAATTATCAGGGGGTTTTTTAAAAAATGTGAAATTTGTAGGCATGGACCAAATTACGTGCAAAAGCTGTAACAAAGCAGCTGAATGTAACATACATACATACTTTATTAACATGACTAACACTTAGCTATAAAGCTAGTTTACAGATCAGTCACAAAACTAAAGACAAGCCTAGAAACCATGTAAAACTGCATAAAATTATAAAATTATTGTTAAACTTATACACTAAGAAAACCAGGTTAAATTGCGAATAAGGGTCAATAAACTTACAACTACATAAAAGTGTTTAAAATGACATAGTACTTGGAAACTGCAATAAGATTATAGAAACTAAATAATACTTAAATACTAAGAAAAACTAAGTTAAATTGCGAAAGGGACTATAAACTTGCAAGGTCAAGCTCCTTGAGTCCATGTTCAAAACTGCGGTAACTATCAATATTTCTTAAATTATTTGGAATACTATTCCATAGTCGGGCAGCCTGGTATCTCCATGACTTGATCCCATACTTTGTTGAATTTACTTTAGATAATTTTAAAATAGCATCACCACGTAAATTATAATTGGAATTAGGTGCCATCAATAACTCAGAAATACCTGTAGGTACTTTCTCATTCCCAATTGCTCCAAACACTGTATTTAACGTTTTTGCAAGTCTTTGATTTGCTAATGTGCTATATCCATTTTTAACAACTAGTGTCTCATAAGTAGAGATTTTGTCCTGATAAACAAAGCAGAGTGCCTGCTAGTTCAGTTTTTTGAGTTTTCCTGTTAAGCGATTATGCATCTATCAATGTAAATCCCGTCGGGGGCGGGGGGGGGGGGGNCACCTGAAACTGGGATATGTTCGATCAATCTTGGTCTCTTGAATTAATTATTAAATACATCAAACACTCGCTGATCGAGCCATTCCTTAACCTCTACAAATTTGCTTTACAGACTGTTTATATCAATCAATCAATCGATCAATCAATCATTTATTTTAACATGTTGCGTCAAAGAGCTAAAAAACTCGTTCAAAATACGAACATGTATAAATAAAATCTACAATAATAAATAAAATCTATAATATAATAATAAAATCTATAATAATTACAACTATATAATATTATTCTATTTTAAAAACAACTCAATAAATAGATACATATAAAAAATTTGGTATTAAAAACATAAAATATAAAGAGCTAAGACTGACTAAAAAGCCATATACTAAAAACATGACTAGGAAAACTATAATACTCGTTAATATTGTAAGAAGTGATGATAAATTCCTTGCAATACTCCTTCCTTAAAAATGAAAAGTCTTCTTGTTCATCCGCCACTTGTTCTGATACATCAGAAACAGCAGACAGATTTAAATTTTTTGCCTGCGAAGAGTTCAATAATGTGGAGTGAAAAAGAAGTTCCTGCATAAATTTCAAAAAACATGGTTGACAGGTCCAACTTTTGTTGCCAGAAACCATGAGCAAATATTTCTTGACTGTAATTCCAGCACATTTAATGTGAAATTTGAGTCGACAATCTTCGTGGATATTGATACTTCTATTAATATAAATCTAGACCACTGTCCGACGTTCGCACGGGGGGCCTGGCGGGTCTTTTTGGTCATAGGTAAAGTACACCAGTTTAGTAAAATTACTTCAACTCAGCAGTAGTCACAAGATTTTTAGTAACCAATCATTATGCGACAAGTCTAGAGTGTAGCAATTCTTAGAGCTGGGACAACTAGGGCTATGCGCATTTTAGTCTTTGCAAGCAGGCAAGCACTTCTATCTAGCAAGCTTCTTTTAGCTTTTCAAGTAATTTTCTTTTGATCATGGCAACTGCTTCAGACCTCAAGGCAGATCGCAGAGTCGTTAAATGTCCAGGGTGTAAAACGCCTAGCGAAGATCACCATTGGGGTATTCCCTCAAAGTTTTGCGAGGAGTTCGAGAAATCCTCACCTAAAAAGGAAATGGAAACTTCACCTATGAGCGAAACAGTTTTCTCCGCCTTGGCAGCTGAGTTAGATTCCTTAGAACTGGAAGAAGAAGAATTGCGGCGTCAGGAGGAAGAGTCAAAATTGCGGAAAAGGATAGCGGATAAGTGAAAGCTCATCGAGAGGCTCCGAAAATCTGGCTCAGGAGATGCTGCTGGTGAGGATAACACCCCCCGCTTGACAATCAAGGATCTCCCGAAGGTGGATTTCAGCGATGCTGAGGGCAGAACCCCTCTTGACAAATTTTTGGCTGGTTGGGAAGATCAGCCCCAATTCCGACCCACGGACTCAGCAAATAAACTTATGGTTTTTTGCAATTGCTCTTTCGCAGAGTACACATGGGTTCTTCACAGGTCCTGGGTTCGGATGAATACAGTCGAGTGGAATTTCACATGTATTATAACCAGCATCTCGGTTTGGACCATAATAGATTACACAACTAAAAAAACTTTCTCTCATCCTACAAGGGGCCGTTATATTGCAATTTCTTGTTCCCGTTGAACACCTAACTTTGCATACGAGAAAGAAAAGGACAAAAAGCCGGAGCGACCAAATGAGGTGACCGGCCGCCATCTTTGTTAATTGTTTTTATCTGCAAGTTAATAAAATTCTTCTTATTCGTTAATTCGTTATTTGTTAATAAAATTATTCTTACTCGCAATCGCCCAGAGTAATTCCCCTCTTTTTTTGTATGCAGTTTTCAATGGAATCAAACCACTATGAGATGAAGCCGCGCTTCCAAAGCTTATCATTTTCTTAAAAAATAGCTAATTGTCTGGATAACATAGTATTTCTGATCACTGTTTTTATGATTCGTAAAACTTCGTTTCAAAATATTTCGGAAATGCTCTCGTATAATTTTTTCAAACTTTACCATAATTGAGGCAAATATGGCAGGTACAAACTCCCTCAAGCGATTTCTTAAAAAAACTCCTGGTACAGAGAAACACAAACATAATTAACAAAACGTAATGGCGTTGTTACGTTGCCATGGCTACTCCAAATACAATAAAACCCAGATCATAAGATATTTTTATCTTTATATAATACAGTTGTGGTAACCTTTTTCCCATATCTTCACTCATGCCAACATAGTTAATTCTCAAACTTGGGAGGTATCCCCCCAAAAAATCCAGTCGAGCCACCTTAAAACTATTTTGAGAAACAGTACAAATCGAAATCCATGCTGCTTGTCACGTTCAAAGTGACGGATTACGTTACATGTGAAATCGTGCAGAATGACTTTTGAACCTCGACGCGTGCCTGTTTGTTTCATACAAAAAACATTTTCTGTGGCGTTTAGTAGACTCTGGCTCAACAAGCCAACACCACCATGTTAAATTTTTCTGCCTGCTTAACTCAACACTATACTAGAAGTAGCCAGAGTGCCCAGCCAGGTGACCGGGAATTTTTTTTAACTCACTCAAAGCTAAATGTTAGTCACCTCAGATGACCGGGCGCTGTTAGAGCACGGCCTTGCATATTACTGTATACCCCTACCTCCCCACAATGGCCACCTTTCCACAACGGCCACTTTCTTCTGTCCCCAAGGTGGCCATTGTGGAGTGGTTCAACTGTACTACTGCCTTTGCACTCTTGGCCCCAACACCTTTGAGGCACCTGCTACAGAGTACCTAGTTCATCATCTTTACATAACTTGAAGACCCAGTGATACACTGTAGCTAACAAACTCAATAAATAATTATCAGAAGTTCACTTTGAATTTCCTCTCAAATTGATTGGCTGATGGAACATTGACACTTTAACCAACCAATCCAAGGTCTAGGATTCAAATCCCAGAGATCACAGGAAACCATCGGTAACAATTTTTTGGTTCTGTGAAAATTCATGGGAACCCACTTTTATTTCTTTTAATGTACAGTAACATGTTGTTAAACATACTTTTAAATTAAAGAACATCAAAGTGTACTATTACTTACAAAAAACTTCACCCACCACGGGGTTTACATTGATAGGTGCATTACTGCAGAAATGCCAATACTCTGCACAATTATTTAGGGAGAGGTAGCTTTGAATTTAGAACCGCATAAACAAGTCTATGGTCACTTAAACCAGGTTCCAAAACACCCGATGACTTGATAAGTGCTGAAGCATTAGTTAATAATTATAACATCCAGACACGATTCCCTTGTTTTGGATATCCTAGTTGGTACATTTATGATGGAATCCAAGTCGTACACGTCACAAATAAGCAAGCATCTCCCTTCTTTTTTGTCGGCTAGAGGATGGAGTATATCAGAATTTGGTCCCCAGTACATATTAGTGTCACTAAATGACAAAGCTTCATATAACATGGTAAACAGTTCCTTTGAAAATGTAGCATTGCCAACTGACGGTGGTTTATACGCACACAGAATAGCGATACGCTTATTATTCATGTAAACATCCAGCAAAATACACTCAAGCGACTCTCCAGATTTTCTCCTCCTGATCGCAGCAATATTATCCCTAACGTTAACAACAACGCCTTCCCCTCCTTTGATTCTGTCATTCCCGTATAGCTTATAGTGCAACACCTGAAACTGGGATATGTTCGATCAATCTTGGTCTCTTGAATTAATTGTTAAATACATCGAACACTCGCTGATCGAGCCATTCCTTAACCTCTACAAATTTGCTTTACAGACTGTTTATATCAATCAATCGATCAATCAATCATTTATTTTAATACGTTGCGTCAAAGAGCTAAAAAACTCGTTCAAAATACGAACATGTATAAATAAAATCTACAATAATAAATAAAATCTATAATATAATAATAAAATCTATAATAATTACAACTATATAATATTATTCAATTTTAAAAACAAGTCAATAAATAGATACATATAAAAAATTTGGTATTAAAAACATAAAATATAAAAAGCTAAGACTGACTAAAAAGCCACATACTAAAAACATGACTAGGAAAACTATAATACTCGCTAGCTTGCTAGCTTCAATAACATGTTTCTGGTGACACGCCAGGTGCATTCTTATGGCACTAGAAGTTCGGAGCATTTTTAATTACCACAATGCAGGACTAATATAAGAAAGTTCTCCATCAGTTTCCAAGGTCCTAAATTTTTTAACTCTCTTAGTTTTGAAATTCGAAATGCAACAAGTACCGCTTCCTTTTGCTGTAAGCTGAAAGCAATTCCTCTTATCATAAATAGTAATTTATATATATATATGTATTTTTTTTTTCTTCCTTTGCTCTTTTATTTTCTTTTGTTTTGTTTTGTTTTTGTTTTTTTTCTTTTTGTCATTTCGCTTTTTTTAGCCTAGAACTATGATTAGTACGACTATCTAATATACTTATTTTAAGATTTACTGTAGCTCTGCCATTGATTTTCCCGTGTGTAATTATGATAATATTTTGTTCTAATTATCTAACTGAGGGAGCCCATTCCTTATAAGCCCGGTGGCTTCTCTTGGGCTTCCTCGCCATGAGAGTTTAGGTAATTAGATTTTATTTGATTTGTATAATTTTTGGCAAACAAAACAATAAACAATAAACAATAAACAATATTGTAAGAAGTGATGATAAATTCCTTGCAATACTCCTTCCTTAAAAATGAAAAGTCTTCTCGTTCATCCGCCACTTGTTCTGATACATCAGAAACAGCAGACAGATTTAAATTTTTTGCCTGCGAAGAGTTCAATAATGTGGAGTGAAATAGAAGTTCCTGCATAAATTTCAAATAACATGGTTGACAGGTCCAACTTTTGTTGCCAGAAACCATGAGCAAATATTTCTTGACTGTAATTCCAGCACATTTAATGTGAAATTTGAGTCGACAATCTTCGCAGCAAATAAACTTATGGTTTTTTGCAATTATTGCTCTTTCGCAGAGTACACATGGGTTCTTCACAGGTCCTGGGTTCGGATGAATACAGTCGAGTGGAATTTCACATGAATTATGACCAGCATCTCGGTTTGGACCGTAATAGATTACACAACTAAAAAAACTTTCTCTCATCCTACAAGTGGCCGTTATATTGCAATTTCTTGTTCCCCTTGAACACCTAACTTTGCATACGAGAAAGAAAAGGACAAAAAGCCGGAGCAACCAAATGAGGTGACTGGCCGCCATCTTTGTTAATTGTTTTTATTTGCAAGTTAATAAAATTCTTCTTATTCGTTAATTCGTTATTTGTTAATAAAATTATTCTTACTCGCGATCGCCCAGAGCAATTCCCCTCTTTTTTTGTATGCAGTTTTCAATGGAATCAATTAAACCACTATGAGATGAAGCCACGCTTCCAAAGCTTATCATTTTCTTAAAAAAAAATAGCTAATTGTCTGGACAACATACTATTTCTGATCACTGTTTTTATGATTCGTAAAACTTCGTTTCAAAATATTTCGGAAATGCTCTCGTATAATTTTTTCAAACTTTACCATAATTGAGGCAATTATGGCAGGTACAAACTCCCTTAAGCGATTTCTTAAAAAAACTCATGGTACAGAGAAACACAAAGATAATTAACAAAACGTAATGGCATTGTTACGTTGCCATGGCTACTCCAATTACAATAAAACCCAGATCATAAGAAATTTTTATCTTTATATAATACAGTTGTGGTAACCTTTTTCCCATATCTTCAATCATGCCAACATAGTTAATTCTCAAACTTGGGAGGTATCCCCCCAAAACATCCAGTTGAGACACCTTAAAACTATTTTGAGAAGCAGTACAAATCGAAATCCATGCCGCTTGTCATGCTCAAAGTGACGGATTACGTCACATGTGAAATTGTGCATAATGAACATTTGAACATCGACGCGTGCCTGTTTGTTTCGTACAAAATCATTTTCTGTGGCATTTACTAAACTCTGGCTCAACAAGCCAACACCACCATGTTAAATTTTTCTGCCTGCTTAATCGAACACTATACTAGAAGTAGCCAGAGTGCCCGGCCAGGTGACCAGGAATTTTTTTAACTCGCTCAAAGCTAAATGTTAGTCACCTCAGATGACCGGGCGCTGTTAGAGCACAGCCTTGCATATTACTGTATACCCCTACCTCCCCACAATGGCCACCTTTTCACAACGGCCACTTTCTTCTGTCCCCAAGGTGGCCGTTGTGGAGAGGTTCAACTGTACTACTGCCTTTGCACTCTTGGCCCCAACACCTTTGAGGCACCTGCTACAGAGTACCTAGTTTATCATCTTTACATTGTATCACAAGCTGCTTGAAGACCCAGTGATACACTGTAGCTAACAAACTCAATAAATAATTATCAGAAGTTCACTTTGAATTTCCTCTCAAATTGATTGGCTGATGGAACATTGGCACTTTAACCAACCAATCGAAGGTCTAGAATTCAAATCCCAGAGATCATGGGAAACCATCAGTAACAATTTTTTGGTTCTGTGAAAATTCATGGGAACCCACTTTTATTTCTTTTAATGTACAGTAACATGTTGTTAAACATACTTTTAAATTAAAGAACATCAAAGTGTACTATTACTTACAAAAAACTTCAATGTCTATTAAAATGTCAGAAGGAGGTCAATTTAAGTGTTAAATGTGTGTGCTTTAGGTGTCAAAAACTCCAGACCCCTCTTCCATCCAACCAATAGGTATACTCACTTGAAATGTGCATTACAGATGTATTGTCTTTTCATAAAGAGATTTGGGCCTCATCATCAGTTTCAACAGTGAAATTGTCACTAAAAGACCACCTTCTAAATGTTTTTAAACTTTTGGAGTATCATACTTTTTCTCTTGGGACTGGAAGTTGTAACAATCGCTAGTGTTAACTGCAAAACATCTTTCATCAGTTACATGCGATGCACTTTGGGAACAGAATTCAAGATGGTGGACGAAAAAAAAAAAGGTAACGTTTGTTAAAAGTTTGTATATACACAAGCTGAGTCATACAGAATTGCTCTACTAGTTAAGAATCCAAGTGGAAAAATATTATATTTGTGTATTTTGATCCGTTAGTTTAAACATATCAGGATATGTCACTGAGAAACTATTTTTCGGTTCCGTTATTTCAAGATCACGGTAACGACACGGTAACTGGATACGATCATTACCGTGAAATCCTAGGGCTCGCCAATCATGATGCATACTCAAATCCTGGTATGTACACAGCTGGGGGGCCCAGACTACCTATTTTGGCACTGGCTTGCAGATGGACTTTAACCCGTCTGTGGTGAAGGCTAGAGTAGAAAACTTTTGTGGTATCATTTCTCCCCACCTAAATCACTGCCCCTGTGTCACTGAGGATGCATTCCTCAGAGAATTTCACTCACCTTCCTCGCCTAAAGTAGCATCGGTCGTATCAGTATAAGCATAGAATGAGCCTTTAGGATGCCCCCACAATGGTCCTGTGTTAACTGCCGGAGTAGAGGCATTTGTAATCACCCATCTCAAAGAGCCTGATCCTCGTTCATTACTCCAGCCACAAAATGAACCATCCTCAAAATTACATGAATGGACAGTTTCTTTTGATGTTACATCACAACCTGAAAATAATCACAACCAACTTTAACTTCCAAAGTGATAAATTTTCATCCAGGGTACAAAGCATGGTAAAAAGTACAAATCAAGCTTAGGGTAAGAGCATTGTCATGCACTATTTATTTAAACAATAAAATTATTAATGGATAAATGGTTAAATTCTTTTCTTTTCGGTTTTCCTCGTTTTTTTAATTATTTAATTTAAATTTATTTTTTTACCTTTCGTTTTGTATAATCAATTAAAAGAAAAAATAAAATCATTTGAATTTGCTTACAAGTAGTGAGTAAAATAATGTAGTACAACGTAGTACAAAAATGATAAGTGGGCTTTTCAGCTTGAGCTATGGAATGTACAAATCATTCTGTACAAAACTTCTCATTCAAAGAACCTTTTCAAATTAGCATATATTGTTTTAAGCCTGCGCAGGCTTTTGTTAACATACACCTACAGGGGCAAATAAATTAGTAGGTCAGGGGTTTCAATAAGCACCGATGGCCGACGTAACAGAACCGGCTACTCTGCTCATAGAGGTCGGCTACTTTTTTACAGAAAGAAGAAGCAACTAGTTTGAATAATGTTATAAACAAAAAATACATCATAAAATCTGAATGAAAATGTAACTATGATTTGAACTATGAAGGCCCACTGGTTTTACATTATGCTTTAGTCATGTGAACGCTATAATTCAGTCATTTTTTCAAAAGTTTCTTATAGGTTTAAGCAGAATTTGTTTACGTGCAAAAGTACGTAATTTAGTTTTCATCATTTGTTCATTGCTCGTAGGAATTGATTGTGACTGATACAGTGATAACTACTTTTTTTTTTGAATGAAAAACATGCTCTTTTGTCCTCAAATTTAGCCCCCAGAATGCTGAAAATCACATTTTTAGAGTTTGAAATTTCAAAATTTTCTGGGGCGGAACATGCTTAGACCTCCCCCCACCTCTAGAAAGGGGGACAACCGGCCCCTTGTTGATACAGTTGGTTACTCTATCCAAACTGCTGGCTACTTCAATTTTTATTGAAACCCCTGTATGTAGAAAATGTGTACTTGACAAGTCAAAAATTAATGATAACAGCAGCTTCGTGCAGTGAATAAGATCTCAATGCTCAATTGCTTGTGGTGCATGGTAATAAATAAGCCCTCTAACCCTTCCACTGTAAAAGAATCTTACCGAAAGATGTGAATAATTTAATATTAATGTTCCACTCAATTGATTCATTTCCCTGCAAGCCATTACATGTACATTTAAACAACATACAAATCACCTGTAAAAGATCTTGTCTTCGTTCCGTTGTTGCATATACTGGAGCATTCAGACCACTGTGAAATCACAAACTTGTAGGAGTCATGAACTTTGTTAATGCACTGTTTGCCTTCGTAAAGGATCTTGGTTGATGTGTTGCAGATACTGTAGTAAACCAAAACTCTAAAATGCACCTCATCACGCCCTGCTTGTAAATTGGAGCCATATCCCCAACCACTTTTCACCAGGAGTGGATAACCTTTCTTCGATTCATCATTTCTACTTGGAGCCCAGATACGGACTCTGTTTTCATCATAGGCAAACACAACACCTCCGTACTCATTGTTCCCATCATCGTCAGACTGAACTGCACCTTGGGCTTCAAAGACATAGCCCACATTCCTTCCATTGATTGCTCTAAGTTGAACAAGAACAAGTGACGGCAATTGATTTTTACCATGGACGATTTCCCTGAATGAGTTTTGATCTCTTTGCCCCTTAAGAGGAAACCAATCTTGCTGGAAAGTAGGTGTTGGAAGTTGGTTAACCCAGAGTCGTACCTCTACTTTACATTTTGAGGCCTTCTCAGAGTTAACTCCACCACCCCACTCCTTACCTACAAAAATGCAGCCAGTGTTATTGTTAACACCATCTGGGGCCCATAAACGCACATATTTTTCATTATATGCGAATATCACCCCACCAAAGTTACTGGTAGGATTTGGATTTTGCGAGGCTCCCACTCCATGAAACCAAAAACCTGCATTGTCAGAGCTTTCAGCAGGGGTAATCCTGACCATAACTCTCTCTGGTAATTTTCTTAACTCGTGATCAACTAGATGGTAGGTTAGGTTTGGAACGTGGGTGTTGATAACAAGTTCGATTTGAAAAGCTGGCGCCGAGCCATCCTTCCATACCTCAACAATAACTTCTGCCTCGTCGGATTCTTGAGTATTTTCTTCGCCTCCCCAGCCGTCTTTCACGAACACAATATGGCCATTCGCACTCGTAGGAGCCCAAATTCGAACAAACTCCGAATTATAAGCAAAAATTAGGCCACCGTAAGAACTTTTTGAGGGTGAAGACTGGCTAGAACCGATGCCATTGAAAGAAAACCTACTGTTGTTTCCTTGCAGAGGCTTCGCATAAACACGAACATAAAATGGATCCACATTTAGCCCATGACGAACTTCCTTAAACGAACCGGTGCCTTGATTTGATCTTAACGTGAAATTAGTTCTAAAGTCAGGTTTCGGAAATGTCTGCAGCCAGTCGCTGTAAAGCACATCATCGGCGAAAAGTTCTCGAACATGAATGGCTGTCAACAACGTCACAACAACCTGTAAGAACTTCAAACCCTGAGGTTCATGCGACAAGGGAGGCATCAGGCCAATTTAACTGTCGAAAACTTTCGATGAAAATGTTAAGAATGGTCATTATAACGTCGTCACGCCAGGAAGTGAGCCTATTAGCCGCCACAAATAACGAAAACACGCCAAAAACACGAGGTCAATATGTTTGCCACGGTGAGGATGTTTTGAAAAGACTACCAGCTTGGTAGCCACGCCGACGCTTTCGACAGTAATCGTCTCCGGTTTCAATATGGCGGACGGGGTTTCACCCATGCGCAACCAGTCTTCGAATAGATAAAATTTAAGGTGAGAAAAGAGCAGTTATGTCAGATTAGAGGGGTCTTTGGATTCCGACATTTGAATAACCACTTCGTTCTAGTAACTACACTCCCAGAAGTTTATCAATAGGACATCAATGTTTATTTTCAGGTCAAGCACCCGTTCTTCCGGCAGCTGATGACAACCTATGGATGATTTGATCTGAACCTATATGCATGACTCGAATTGAAAAACTTGATATTGTCAATGTATTGAAAGGAAGGTGATCAATATTTCAATCTTTTTTCCCTAGCTTTGGTAACATTAATGAAAATAGCAGATAAAGTCGAAAACTGAAAATTGGCTGCTTGAAATCGAATATTAATTTCTCACCATGATAGGTAAAACTCTGGTATTAATGAATTAATTTAAAACCCAATTTTGCTCTTCCCATAGATTATTTATGCATGCATTACTTTCATAATATTGACATAAGAAAAATCAAAATCAAAATCAACAGATTTACAGCAACCCCAAAATATTTTTCTCGTTCAATTTCTTGTTCAATTTCAAACTTTACTTGAAGTGATCAAAATTTAAGTGCAATTTCACTGCTTGAGTTCGTATCAAAAGCACCTGTATCGAAACAACTTTGTATCAAAACGACCAGTTTCCCTGACATGCACATGTTTGTTGGTGGCCATTCACTATAGGTATGTGCAGCGCCAAAGGGTATGGTATTTTAGCTGTTTTGGTCTGAAACAGGGTATCAATTCTGAAATAGGATATGGTTTGTGCACTCTAGTCTTGAATTGGTTATGTTTTTAGAAGAAGCTACTTCTTCATCATTACGCGATAAGACCATTTCCCTTTTAATGTTTATCCCAACCGTGTAGTCAGGGGTCAGGTCTGAAACGGGGTATCAAATTAATTTTTTGATCAGGTCTGAAATGGGGTAGGGAAAATCACAGATTTTGGTCTGAAATAGGGTGAGGGTTTCAGGAAGTGTGCCGCACACCCCCACGAAATTTTTGTGGAAGAACCCTTCCACTGGTGTTCAAGGTAGGCTGAAAAGTGTATACATGTATGTAAATAATGTATCAAGTTGGCAGCTATTCACACATTAATTTTACTAATTCATCACAACGACTAAGCATTTTCTTTAGATTGAGTTTGCTTTCTACCTTATTAGTGGGCAGGGTTTGAGCCAGGTCGCGCCATTGCGCCAATCCCGCACTGCAATTGAAATTGTCCCTTAAAAAAGTGGCCAAGGGGACAATTTGTCCCCTTCAAAATTTAGGGAAAAAATCTCGAAAGGAAGCACACAGGAAGAGATTTAGTTCAGTACAGAAATTGCAAGCTAAAACAGAACATGGAAAGTATATTTTATCATTCTAAAGTCACGTTTCAGTCATGCTCTACTGAACACAGTTTCATGCTCTAACCAAGCATGGTGAACGTGCCTGCAATCGTTAACATGTCACATCGAAAACATGTTCGAACATTAGAAAGCTTTTTCACTTCAAATCAAAGCCAGAGTGAATCAGGGAAAAATGATACAGAAGAAGAACAGTGTATTAATCAGGAAGAAACGGATGAGGATCAAAGGAAACCAAAAAAATCACGAGATCACACGTGGTTGCGCTATGAAAAGGTCTCAGGCGATGTTCAGCTATTTTTGTCAGAAATCTAAGAAGACAAACCCCTTTGCATCAGCAGACGGGTGTACAAATTTCTGTCCCCCTAAAAATAAAAATGTCCCCCAAAATTTTAGCCAAGGGGACAAATTGTCCCCCAGTGATCGAAACCTAGCTCAAACCCTCAGTGGGTCTTAATTTTTGTGTCTCTTGCGATAATAGTTTATAACAAATCACAAAATTAAAAGATCGTGGAATCAAAAACTTCAAACCCAAAATACTTTGATCATCCCTATCACTTGAAATCCACAGTACTCCCCTGGGATGTCAAAGCGATTGGTTATTATTAGTAAAAGCCTTTCACTTGAAATGTAACCACACAGCAGCAGCCAAAATCAGGAGTTTTATGTCTCCTGCACTAATGGCACCTACCAGTTAGAGTTTATGCTATCTGAATATGAAACCACGAATATTTCCCATGGACTGAGCTTTTTTAATGTACCAACTACCACTTGTTGCTAAGTGGTAAGATACATGTAGTCTCAAACATAAACTTTCAATACTGCTTCTCTGATAGAAAAGTAATCTCTCCTGCACCTACATTTCTGTTTGGCAATCTCCCATTAGGCAAGTACAGAAAATTCAAAAATTGAAAGCAATATAACCAGTTGTTTGACAGAAATGATGAGACCTAAATATCTTTCCCCTTCCCTCCTTCCTGCCATAATTTCCTTACTATAGGGCTCGAAAAAATTTCCGTTTCATGGTCCAGGCAACTAGATTTTCTTGCTGGGGGAATAACTTTTAAAGCTTACTTTCTTATGAAGTGGTCCTGGACAAGCTAGCAAAATTTGAGAGCTGCTTACCCAAGGGACAAGCAATGGAATTCAACTTTTTTTTAAAATTCATGTGCTATGCTTTAATTAATCAACCTGATGCTCACTTCCGCATTTCGTTTAAATCTCTCTTTTAGAACATTGTTTGGCTTTTCAGTTGTAATGAGTGGAGGACTAGCACCCAGCAAGTCTACAGTGTATGTTGGAAACCTACCTTATTCACTTACTAACAATGATTTGCATAAGGTACATGTCAGCATTTTGTTTCCATTCTCTTCCTTTGGGGGGGTGGGGGAGGGGTGGGGGTGGCATTGGGGGTGAGGAGAGGACAGGCTTATGCCCCTACAATGTATATCTGTATGTAAGTTTAATAGTATACAAAATGTATAAATGATGGCAATGCTTTATTTAGCTGTTTTTGTCTAATGATGAGCAATGTTGTTGGCTGTTTTGATCTGGATGCTTTATATGTCATCTTTTATATGTGAACTTCAATCCTTTAAGTGTAGTTTTTTTCCTTTGTCAAACAGTAAAACAATGTAACAAATATGGAAGCCGAAAGTACAATAAAGTGATTCAAGACCTACAGCTTCATTCAATTGCATCACTTAAAAAAAAAAAAAAACAGATGGATGCTTGAGACATCTGTGAGCTTCCACCTTTAGAAGTGACTCCCAGGTGTGGGAGACTTCTTCCATGGTGGATATATCTCAGATCCCTGTTAGATGTCAGGGCTTAAGCAGCATGGCCTGGTTCCTCAAAAGATGGTTAAGTTTAACCCAGGATTAAGCCAAATTTCAAGCATGGTTTTCTCGTCTAAGAAAATGCAACTCAATGTTACAGAAATAAATACTGTTGAGCCTTTAATACGAGATACAGTAGTGATAACACAAAGTGTTACCCTAAGCAATGTAAAATACGAAAACGGAACAAAATTTCAATCCTGGATTAACGCTATAGTCAGCATTTGAGGAACTGAGCCTATATGTTTGTCTGCCATATGTTAGATGTCTTTATGGTCAACAACAAACTCCACATGAGATGAACCTGATGCACGTAATGAGAAAAACTATCGTTCTTGCTCATTAGCAGTAAGTTCATCCCATGTCAAGTTTGATCTTTGACCCTTATTATATGAACATGTTAAAACAGGAATCACATACAGTTGTAATAAAAATCAAATTCCCATTCATCACTGCAACTTGAGAAATGAAATATCTAGATTTCTAATCAACCTTTAAAAAAGTTATTATTATTGTTAAATTATTATCATTATAAATTTGGCTGTTTTGTTTTGATTAACAGATATTTGAGAAGTATGGAAAGGTTGTGAAGTAAGTAGACAACATGTTGTGTTTTACTCCTTAGGGCTCAAAATAATCTTTTGGATGGTGGCCGGACACGATGTCTGGCCAAAGAAATTTATGCTCGGTCTTGTCTCGTAACTGACCGATCAAAATATTGGGAAAAAATTTAACTAATCCTTGTGTAATTTTCTAGTTGACTTGTATATTTTTTACAAAGGGACAAAATCTAAGATTTACCAGTGAGGATTTGGCTGTTTGTTCAAGAATGAGTTGCTACTTGTTTTGGTACTCTTTAGGGGCCTGAGCCATGCCTAAATTGGTCTCCTCATGGGTTTGATTCTAATTTTACAACATGCATCCCTGTCTCTGTCCCTACCAGAATGAACCCCACCAAGCTCAAAACCCTTTTGACATAGTAATTCTAGCTGTAAAGGTAAGCCAGGTAGAAATCAGAGTGTTTTGGTTGCAAAAGGATAGACATGTCATAAAATTGTTTGTTTTTCCTCTTTTTCTCCTTAGTAAAATTGCCAAGTACATTGCTAAAGTTTCTGTGTCTAAACCCTAAGAGCGAGCAATGTTTAATTTCTCCTTATATTTGCACTGCTGAATTAAACATAAAGGTCTTGAAAAAAACATTAAACAAGTGATCTTGATTGTTAAACAAATTTTACCTATCGTTATCATATAGGAAAAGTACGGAAAATTCACGACTTTAGACTCTCTCATCCGCAAAAAGCCTCTTTGTATCGTAGGAAGGGCAGGGGAGAAAGAAAAGGAAAGCGCGCCGGGCACGATTTGCCCTTTTCCCATCATAATCCACGCGCTTTCTATTTTTCCATTATTGCTATTTTTATTGGGATACCCAGTGGGAGCCAGCCTCTGCGGAGGAGAGAGCGACTTTAGAATCAAGAAGGAAACTGGAGCCGAAATCTTTCCCGCAGTTGTTTCTGGACTTTACGATCGGGCGACGCGACGGCAGCGAAATCGTCGCTTCAAAAATGAATTTGCGTTCTTTCGGTCTTTATCAAGATTACTCTAACTCACTTTAAGCGAACCCTCCGGGAGTTGAATTTGTAAGAACCATATTCAAGTTTAGAAAGAGAATCAAATTTCGTCGTCGCATGTTTACTTCCTCCCTAAAAAGTAAATTAGGCAATTTCACGTCGTAGTCGTGCAAAAACGGCAAAGAAATGTACAAAAAAGTGTGATGCACTTGCAAAGTTGTTGTTTTGCCAATCTAACGCAACTGCTTTTTTGCCGCCCTCGTTGACGTCGCCGTCGTTGTTGCTTAAGCTTGGCCATTTTTTTAACCTGTCCTGAGTAAATCTTCCCGAAGTCTTCGTGAAAAGTTCGCTTGGTCCGGTTTCCTTCTTTTTTCTAAAGTGACCAGTAGTGTGGAGAAAACGCAAGCTAATATTAACGTTAAATTAAGGGGTTACAGGGAAACCAGACAGGGACCTTAAGATCCGAGGACGGCGACAGCAGAGAAAACGTCGCTGAAAAAGTGAATCAGTAGCGTTCTTTCAATCTTCATCGCGATTACTCCAAGTCACTAACTTTGTCTAATGGAGGTGAACCCTTCTAACGTTGAATTCCTAAGAACCATATCCAATTTCAGAAAGAGGGAGGAAATTTCGTAGTCGCTTGTGTTCTTCCTCTGTCCAACGTGAAATTAGGCATTTTCACGTCGTAGTCGTGCAGTGACCCCAAAGAAATGTACAAAAAAGCGTAATGCACGTGCAAAGAACTGTTGTGGCTTTGGTTATTAAACCTATTGCTTTTGTGACGTTCTCGTTGCCGTCGCCGTCGTCGGATTTTAAGGTCTCTATTGCCTTTGGTAGAATCCAATTCAAGAGCTTTATGTAAATTGCTCTTCTGTAAATCAGATACATGTACATCATTATTCTCCGTTCCTTCCTGTTGTTGTTTACATACCTTTTTGCATTTGTTTGTTTGTTTTTTCTTCAAGGGTTACCATTCTGAGAGACAAGGATACAAGAGAAAGTAAAGGTGTGGCATTTGTGCTGTTTTTGGATCGACAGATGGCCCACAAGGCAGTAACAGCAATAAACAGAAGGCCCATAAACGCACATATTTTTCATTATATGCGAATATCACCCCACCAAAGTTACTGGTAGGATTTGGATTTTGCGAGGCTCCCACTCCATGAAACCAAAAACCTGCATTGTCAGAGCTTTCAGCAGGGGTAATCCTGACCATAACTCTCTCTGGTAATTTTCTTAACTCGTGATCAACTAGATGGTAGGTTAGGTTTGGAACGTGGGTGTTGATAACAAGTTCGATTTGAAAAGCTGGCGCCGAGCCATCCTTCCATACCTCAACAATAACTTCTGCCTCGTCGGATTCTTGAGTATTTTCTTCGCCTCCCCAGCCGTCTTTCACGAATACAATATGGCCATTCGCACTCGTAGGAGCCCAAATTCGAACAAACTCCGAATTATAAGCAAAAATTAGGCCACCGTAAGAACTTTTTGAGGGTGAAGACTGGCTAGAACCGATGCCATTGAAAGAAAACCTACTGTTGTTTCCTTGCAGAGGCTTCGCATAAACACGAACATAAAATGGATCCACATTCAGCCCATGACGAACTTCCTTAAACGAACCGGTGCCTTGATTTGATCTTAACGTGAAATTAGTTCTAAAGTCAGGTTTCGGAAATGTCTGCAGCCAGTCGCTGTAAAGCACATCATCGGCGAAAAGTTCTCGAACATGAATGGCTGTCAACAACGTCACAACAACCTGTAAGAACTTCAAACCCTGAGGTTCATGCGACAAGGGAGGCATCAGGCCAATTTAACTGTCGAAAACTTTCGATGAAAATGTTAAGAATGGTCATTATAACGTCGTCACGCCAGGAAGTGAGCCTATTAGCCGCCACAAATAACGAAAACACGCCAAAAACACGAGGTCAATATGTTTACCACGGCGTGGATGTTTTGAAAAGACTACCAGCTTGGTAGCCACGCCGACGCTTTCGACAGTAATCGTCTGCGGTTTCAATATGGCGGACGGGGCTTCACCCATGCGCAACCAGTCTTCGAATAGATAAAATTTAAGGTAAGAAAGAGCAGTTATGTCAGATTAGAGGGGTCTTTGGATTCCGACATTTGAATAACCACTTCGTTCTAGTAACTACACTCCCAGAAGTTTATCAATAGGACATCAATGTTTATTTTCAGGTCAAGCACCCGTTCTTCCGGCAGCTGATGACAACCTATGGATGATTTGATCTGAACCTATATGCATGACTCGAATTGAAAAACTTGATATTGTCAATGTATTGAAAGGAAGGTGATCAATATTTCAATCCTTTTTCTCTAGCTTTGGTAACATTAATGAAAATAGCAGATAAAGTCGAAAACTGAAAATTGGCTGCTTGAAATCGAATATTAATTTCTCACCATGATAGGTAAAACTCTGGTATTAATGAATTAATTTAAAACCCTGTGACAATTTTGCTCTTCCCATAGATTATTTATGCATGCATTACTTTCATAATATTGACATAAGAAAAATCAAAATCAAAATCAACAGATTTACAGCAATGTAGCAGCCCCAAAATATTTTTCTTGTTCAATTTCTTGTTCAATTTCAGACTTTACTTGAAGTGATCAAAATTTAAGTGCAATTTCACTGCTTGAGTTCGTATCAAAAGGACCTGTATCGAAACAACTTTGTATCAAAACGACCAGTTTCCCTGACATGCACATGTTTGTTGGTGGCCATTCACTATAGGTATGTGCGGCGCCAAAGGGTATGGTATTTTAGCTGTTTTGGTCTGAAATAGGGTATCAATTCTGAAATAGGGTATGGTTTGTGCACTCTAGTCTTGAATTGGCTATGTTTTTAGAAGAAGCTACTTCTTCATCATTACGCGATAAGACCATTTCCCTTTTAATGTTTATCCCAACCGTGTAGTCAGGGGTCAGGTCTGAAACAGGGTATCAAATTAATTTTTTGATCAGGTCTGAAATGGGGTAGGGAAAATCACAGATTTTGATCTGAAATGGGGTAAGGGTTTCAGGAAGTGTGCCGCACACCCCCACGAAATTTTTGTGGAAGAACCCTTCCACTGGCGTTCAAGGTAGGCTGAAAAGTGTATACATGTATGTAAATAATGTATCAAGTTGGCAGCAATTCACACATTAATTTTACTAATTCATCACAACGACTAAGCATTTTCTTTAGATTGAGTTTGCTTTCTACCTTATTAGTGGGCATGGTTTGAGCCAGGCCGCGCCATTGCGCCAATCCCGCACTGCAATTGAAATTGTCCCTTAAAAAAGTGGCCAAGGGGACAATTTGTCCCCTTCAAAATTTAGGGAAAAATCTCGAAAGGAAGCACACACGAAGAGATTTAGTTCAGTACAGAAATTGCAAGCTAAAACAGAACATGGAAAGTATATTTTATCATTCTAAAGTCACGTTTCAGTCATGCTCTACTGAACACAGTTTCATTCTCTAACCAAGCAAGGTGAACGTGCCTGGCAATCGTTAACATGTCACATCGAAAACATGTTCGAACATTAGAAAGCTTTTTCACTTCAAATCAAAGCCAGAGTGAATCAGGGAAAAATGATACAGAAGAAGAACAGTGTATTAATCAGGAAGAAACGGATGAGGATCGAAGGAAACCAAAAAAATCACGAGATCACACGTGGTTGCGCTATGAAAAGGTCTCAGGCGATGTTCAGCTATTTTTGTCAGAAATCTAAGAAGACAAACCCCTTTGCATCAGCAGAAGGGTGTACAAATTTCTGTCCCCCTAAAAATAAAAACGTCCCCCAAAATTCTAGCCAAGGGGACAAATTGTCCCCCAGTGATCAAATCCTAGCTCAAACCCTGAGTGGGTCTTTAATTTTGTGTCTCTTGCAATAATAGTTTATAAAAAATCACAAAATTAAAAGATCGTGGAATCAAAAACTTCAAACCCAAAATACTTTGATCATCCCTATCACTTGAAATCCACAGTACTCCCCTGGGATGTCAAAGCGATTGGTTATTATTAGTAAAAGCCTTTCACTTGAAATGTAACCACACAGCAGCAGCCAAAATCAGGAATTTTATGTCTCCTGCACTAATGGCACCTACCAGTTAGAGTTTATGCTATCTGAATATGAAACCACGAATATTTCTCATGGACTGAGCTTTTTTAATGTACCAACTACCACTTGTTGCTAAGTGGTAAGATACATGTAGTCTCAAACATAAACTTTCAATACTGCTTCTCTGATAGAAAAGTAATCTCTCCTGCACCTACATTTCTGTTTGGCAATCTCCCATTAGGCAAGTACAGAAAATTCAAAAATTGAAAGCAATATAACCAGTTGTTTGACAGAAATGATGAGACCTAAATATCTTTCCCCTTCCCTCCTTCCTGCCATAATTTCCTTACTATAGGGCTCGAAAAAATTTCCGTTTCATGGTCCAGGCAACTAGATTTTCTTGCTGGGGGAATAACTTTTAAAGCTTACTTTCTTATGAAGTGGTCCTGGACAAGCTAGCAAAATTTGAGAGCTGCTTACCCAAGGGACAAGCAATGGAATTCAACTTTTTTTTAAAATTCATGTGCTATGCTTTAATTAATCAACCTGATGCTCACTTCCGCATTTCGTTTAAATCTCTCTTTTAGAACATTGTTTGGCTTTTCAGTTGTAATGAGTGGAGGACTAGCACCCAGCAAGTCTACAGTGTATGTTGGAAACCTACCTTATTCACTTACTAACAATGATTTGCATAAGGTACATGTCAGCATTTTGTTTCCATTCTCTTCCTTTGGGGGGGTGGGGGAGGGGTGGGGGTGGCATTGGGGGTGAGGAGAGGACAGGCTTATGCCCCTACAATGTATATCTGTATGTAAGTTTAATAGTATACAAAATGTATAAATGATGGCAATGCTTTATTTAGCTGTTTTTGTCTAATGATGAGCAATGTTGTTGGCTGTTTTGATCTGGATGCTTTATATGTCATCTTTTATATGTGAACTTCAATCCTTTAAGTGTAGTTTTTTTCCTTTGTCAAACAGTAAAACAATGTAACAAATATGGAAGCCGAAAGTACAATAAAGTGATTCAAGACCTACAGCTTCATTCAATTGCATCACTTAAAAAAAAAAAAAACAGATGGATGCTTGAGACATCTGTGAGCTTCCACCTTTAGAAGTGACTCCCAGGTGTGGGAAACTTCTTCCATGGTGGATATATCTCAGATCTCTGTTAGATGTCAGGGCTTAAACAGCATGGCCTGGTTCCTCAAAAGATGGTTAAGTTTAACCCAGGATTAAGCCAAATTTCAAGCATGGTTTTCTCGTCTAAGAAAATGCAACTCAGTGTTACAGAAATAAATACTGTTGAGCCGTTAATATGAGATACAGTAGTGATAACACAAAGTGTTACCCTAAGCAATGTAAAATACAAAAACAGAACAAAATTTCAATGCTGGATCAACGCTAGTCGGCATTTCAGGAACTGGGCCTATATGTTTGTCTGCCATATGTTAGATGTCTTTATGGTCAACAACAAACTTCACATGAGATAAACCTGATGCAGGTAATGAGAAAAACTATCATTCTTGCTCATTAGCAGTAAGTTTGTCCCATGTGAAGTTTGATCTTTGACCCTTATTATATGAACATGTTAAAACAGGAATCACATACAGTTGTAATAAAAATCAAATCCCCATTCATCACTGCAACTTGAGAAATGAAATATCTAGATTTCTAATCAACCTTTAAAAAAGTTATTATTATTGTTAAATTATTATCATTATTAATTTGGCTGTTTTGTTTTGATTAACAGATATTTGAGAAGTATGGAAAGGTTGTGAAGTAAGTAGACAACATAATTATTGTGTTTTACTCCTGAGGGCTCAAAATAATCTTTTGGATGGTGGCCGAACACGATGTCTGGCCAAAGAAATTTATGCTCGGTCTTGTCTCTTAACTGACCGATCAAAATATTGGGAAAAAATTTAACTAATCCTTGTGTAATTTTCTAGTTGACTTGTATATTTTTTACAAAGGGACAAAATCTAAGATTTACCAGTGAGGATTTGGCTG